TGACATCTGAGAAGGATGCCACGAGATGAAGATGAGATGGAGATGGATGAAGAAGATCGTCATCATGATCATGAGGAAAAAGTGAAGAACCCCCCCCCCCCCCCCCCCGTACACCGTCAAACGCGTGGCACATCCCGAGAGCAGGGCTCCTTCTACCGACAGTGTTCACCTGTCGAATATCATACAGAGAATAAGAAGTACAGAGAATGTATGGATACAGGAGTATCATGCAGGATACGAGGAGTGATGGAGACGGCGAGATAACACAGGCGGGCCCTTTCTCGTTTCCGATCTTGTAGCCTTTTCCTTCCTCGAAACGAGAGTTTGCTCTGAAGATACACACACACACACAACGCAGAAAAGTGATGGGGAAGGGTGATGCCTGAGAATTGATATTTCCATCTTGTTCAACCATGTTGGGAAGAAAGAAGGAAAGAAAGAAAGAAAGAAAAAAAAACATCATGGATAAATCACATTGCATAACCGTGAGTCACGGTCCACATGTGCCCTGGCCCCCCTCGGCGTGCGCGCGTCCGACTCTTTCCTCCACATCCACATGAGACGCGCGGGTAATATGGGAGTTCTGTTCCGATCGAAATGACGAATGATGATCAGCCATCAATCTGGTCGATACGAGGAGGAACCGTAGAGGAGTTTCGGAGGGAGGAAATCGTATTGCTATATACATCATCTCGTAGCCTGTTTGCTAGGCAGATATCATCATCCCCCCCCCCCCCCCCCCCCCCCCCCCCCCCCCCCCCCCCCCCCCCCCCCCCCCCCCGGCCCCGACCTTCTCGACTCTTGAATGAGGTGGGTGGTGGGTGTTGATCATCTCCTTTGAGGCTGGGAGACGTGACCACGTCGTTTTGCCACGCTCAACCCATCAACATATATATATATATATATACATTCAAGCTAGATCCGGTTTCGTTGAGATCGAAATCGCGAAATCATATCCTGTTCTACCCTTAGCTTTGTTAGCCTGGGACGTCGTTACGTGTCCATGCATGTCCTGCGCATATGTCGTGTATTGTTGCTGTTGTGTGTTGATGCTGCTGCTGCTGCTGCTGCTGTTGTTGTTGTTGTTGTTGTTGTTGTTGTTGTTGTTGTTGTATGCGTACCTCCCTCGCTTCCGGGAGAGTCATGTTGTCGTGGAAAGATCCGTCAACGGCGTATATGCTCCTGGCGTCATCTCGCTTCGGTCCCTGACCCTGGCGGCGTCGACCGTCACTCTAGGTAGGGGAGGGAATGCTTCCGATGGCCGTTTCGAGAAACCGCCCGCAGAGCTGGCCCGGTAAGCCCGGCCCGCGACGGAGAGTGATGGCTGACGGCCTGGATGCCGATAACTTCCTCCCCCCCACAATTCGCCACTCGATTCTTATCCTGCGCAGCATCACCTCCTGCCCCTCCCCCTTCCTCGTCCCCTGCCGCCGCCACGACCCCGTCCGCCGCCGCCACCCTTCCTACCGCCCCTCATGCCGCCGTCGAACCTCTCGAACAGCCTCTCCTGGCCGAATGCGCCCTCGCCGAAGCGCATAAAGTTGACGAGGCCCCTGTCCACCACCGCCACGAGGACGCTGCGGTGCCCGTGCTTGAGACGCTGGTACATGCGCCCGGGCCCCTGCCAGGCCGGGTTGCGCTGGGGCGGGTCGTACGGAGCCTCGGCCTGGAGCATGGCGTCGAGCTGCTGCAGGTCCGGCACGCCCGAGGTGGACGTGTCGGCCACGGCGATGCGGAAGTCGGCCGGCGGCGGGCTCTTCTTCGAGAAGGGCGTCCCGCCGCCCGACTTCCAGACGTGGTAGAAGACGTGGAAGGGGTCGTCGCCCCCCCCCGACGCCGGCACCGGGCTCGGCGTCGCAGGGTGCTCCGCCGGCCTGTGCCGGTGCACGATGGCCAGGCGCCGGTAGATGGGGGCGTAGGCGCGGTACAGGCCCGGCTGGACGAGGGGACCCCACGGGTGCTCCACCTCCGTCTCGGGGGGGGGGTTCTCTGTCTCGCCCCGGCTCGGGACGAAGAGGGAGACGAGCCACTGCCATAGCGTCGTCGCAGATGCCGCCGCCGCCTCGGCGCTGTTGGGCGCGCCGGGCGCTCGTAGGATGTGGAAGCCTCCGCGCTTGAGGTGCGTGTACACCTGGTACTTTGGCAGGGACACCTTGCCCGTCTCGCCCTCTCGGCCGATGAGGAGCGAGTATGCGGCCTCGAGGCTGAGCGGGATGCCGTTCGAGTAGTCGTCCGGGTCCGGGTTGCAGGCCCTCGCTGCCGCTGCCGCTGCCGCTGACGTCTCGCCGCCGCCGGCCGGGAGGACCTCTTCAAACGGCCGGTCTGGCCACCACAGGTCCACGGTCCCCCTCTCGACGAGGTACAAGGCCTCCTCGGGGAGGAGCCACAGCCTCGCGACGCCGGTCGGGTCCACGGCCGCCGGCACCACCCTGCCCACGTCCTTCATCCAGCTCCCCCTCTCATGCTCAACCACCACGACCCTATCGCCCAGCTGCCGCCGCGTATCGCCGTTGCCGCCGTTGCTGCCGTCGTTGCCACGGCTCTCGTCATCGTCGTTGGCGGGAACGGCCCACCGATCGGGAAAGTACCATGCTCGTACCCAGGCATCCCGCTTGTGAACCCTCGTATACGACAGGACATCCTCCATGGCCTGCCTGCTCGACTCGAGGGCTCCATCCTGGGCCCTGGTGCCGTGGGACTCAAAGTCCTTCTCGCCACGACGGATCGTCTTGCCCGATATGCCCTTCTTGCCCCGTAGCATGGAGCTGAAGAGCTTGAAGTCGGGCATCTCGTCATCCTCGTGGTGATCGTCTGCCGCCGCCGCCGCTGCCGCCGCCGCCGCCGTTATACCATCCCCTCCTGCACTGGGGGCAACCGTGAAGGTGACGGTGGGGTTATCGTCGTCGTCAAAGGCCATGATGGTGTGTGGGTTGGTGGTGGTGGTGATGGTGGTAGTGGTAGGTGGTAGTGGTGGTAGTGGTGGTAGTGGTGGGGGTGGGGTGGCTGGCCTTCCTCTGCACTCGCCTGACCGGGGGGGGGGGGGGGGGGGGGGGGGGGGGGAAAAAAAAAAAAAAAAAAAAAAAAAAAAAATATTAATTGTTTTTTTTTTTTTTTTTTTTTTTTTTTTTTTTTTTTTTTTTTTTTCGGTTCCTTCCAGTTGATGACTTGATTGCGTCTGAGCAGCAACACCTATGACCTGGTTCGAAAAACACAACCTGATTCCAGTTACCGAGTCACTTGGGCGGGACTGAAATATCAGGTGGCAACGGCTGCGATGACGCGCGCGGGGGGTTTGGGGGGTTCGACGTAAATGGAGACGGAGAAGAATAGGGAGTGAAAGGAGACGAGGTTCGTATCAAGAAGAAGGAGAAGGAAGAGTAGAAGGAGGGAAGAGAAGAAGGAGGAAGTCAGAGGAGACGAGGTTGCTATTAAGAAGAAGGAGGAGGAGGAGAAAGAAAGAAAGAAAACGGTGAAAGAAGGAGAAAAGAAGAGAGGAGAAAAGGAAGAAGAGAGGAGACAAGGCGACGTGCACTCTATTGTTGTTGTTGCTGATGATGACGAAACCCACGTCGGTCACTCGCAACCGGAACTGAAGTATCTGGAAACCCGGCTAGGTTGACAACCACGACAGCAACAACAACAGCAACAACAACAGCAACAACAACAGCAACAACAACAGCAACAACAACAGCAACAACAACAGCAACAACAACAACAGCAGCAGCAGCAGCAGCGACGACGACAGCAACGACAGCAGCAGAAAAGGTCCAGGAAAGGAGAGAGGACCTGAGAGCTGGAAGAGAGTTGTCAGAATGAGCAACCGGAGAGTGGCTGAGATGAGAGTTGAGAAGCAGAGAGATGGAGGGAAGCGGATGGGCGAGATGGATGGAGGAGGTGAAGTAGAAAGAAAGGTAAAGGCGCGACAGGAGAGTTGTGAAAAGGCTGAAAATAAATTGACCCAGGGGTCATAACATGTTTTAGTCCTTTTTTTTTTTTTCGGAACGGGGGAGGGGAGGGGAGGGGNGGGGGATAGGATGACGGCAGAAAAAAAAGAGAAAAAAGGAAAAAAAACTGTCAAGAGGTCGAGCTAATCTGTCAATCGTGTGAACCCAATTGACTAGCAGTAGCAGAAGCAAGATTTACGTGATTGGGCCGCTATCTCTCTCTCAACGAGTGGCGTAAGAAGACCTGGGGGAGGTAAGGCGGCCAGGGTTGTTGCTGGCTGGCTGGGAGAGCTTGGCAAGATGTTGGTGAGTGATGACTGATGAGTGCTCGTATGCAGTGAAATATCAATATATCAAACTTTGGAGGTTGGCAAGCGGAAAAAAAGGAAAAGTGGGTACAGGTTCTGTCAGGGTCCCCACGTCATGGCCGAATCGGTCTTGGTGCATTTTCACTAATTCAATATTTTCCTTCTTCTTACAAAAATTATCATTATTACTTTTTCCTTTCCCTTCTTCTTCCCCTCGGCCCCTGCTCGCATGAATAATATATTACAGAGCATCCTTCCTCTCTCCTCCTGTTCGCCTTGGTATTCCCCCCCCCCCCCCCCCCCCTCCCCCGCCACCTTTCAAGAGCTCGGTGGCTACGGAACACATGGGTCATTGTCCCTTTTTTCTTCTTTTCCTTCTTTCAATTATGCGTTCTGCTGCACATATTTGCACTGCACATATTTGTACCGCACATAATTGTACATGCAATGCATATATGAATAACATCATGTGCTGTTATTATCACTATACCTAAGCTACATATAATGTTAAATACCCGTCGTACTCGTTCACTACCGGTAATCTGTAGTGATGCTAGTGCCTGTAACGGATAATGGAATTATGATCATACCGCTTATCGATTACAGTACCTCTTTCACCCTTCCCTTACTGTGTCACACTCCCGCACGTCTCTCGTCTTTCTCTTGCTTCCTTCTGAATCACATCAGCTCGATAAAGTCGCATGCACCTTGCCCAGCTGTGACGGGTAACGCTGTTTGTTAGTGCCATCTGGCTCCCCCCCCCTCTCCCCCATGTATCCATACAGTCTACGAGTAGAGAGGTACGGAGTACGGATGATCCAATTCCCAGCCCCTCCTCCTCCATGGCCGTCCATGAGGGTCACCCATGACTAGCAGACCTCTCGGTGTTGCCGTCCCGGGACAGACGCCTACGTCGTATCATTACTGCTCGTGCTCGTGCTCGTGCTCGTGCTCGTGCTCGTGCTGGTACGAGGCAGTGATGCTCTCCGTATAGCCGAGCAGGTAGATTACCTTGTTAGCCGTATCTGTAATCCGTAGCCTCATCCTACTCTCGGCCGCCAAGTGGATCGAGCAGTTTTCCGTGGCAGCTGGCAGCTCACGGTGACAACGAAGCGAACAGCACTTCACGCATGATCCCCCCCACCGTTTTCGTTTGGGCAACACGTCCCATGCTGTGGTCAGGCATCAAGTGTGCATTGCATCTCATAGCACATTGCATACGTGTACTCCTGGACACTGCGTATGGCTCTGCTGTGCACACACTGCGGGTTGCCACTGCTTGTATGATGATGCTGGATAGCACGGATTAGCAGCACTAGTACAGACTACATACATGTAGGCATGTGTTGAAGGAAGGTGTGATTTCTAGCGCCTTCTGATACGTAGTGGCAATCATAGCAGCAGTAGGTATCAGCACCCTGCTACGATAGCGCTCGGTACGGAGTATTATTATTAATATTACTACGGGTACGAGTGCGGGCCAGAGCCTAGGCGCGGGCTCGTACTCTGTACTCGTTCGTAGTAGCAATACCGCTAAGCAGGTCCCTGTAGCACTAACACGGTGATGCCCCATGGGATTGACCCCGAGAGTGCTGACCGCCTAGAGCACGTGACACCCCTCATCGCATCACCAGCCTCTTGCACTCTCGTACGAGCTCATCGTCACCATCACCCGTGCGCTCGTATAGAGAAGGACGAGAGAAGCGAGGGCGGGAGGAGGCGAGAGACAAGTTGGAAGGGAAGGAAGAAGAGAAAATAAGAGAATCATCTTACAACCGCCGCCACGAAAGAGAACAAGACGAGAGGGACGAGCACAAGCGGAATGCGGCACTTGCCAAGCGCCTTTTTCATGTTTTATTAGTGGGCAGCTTTACGCAGTCGCACTGGACCCTGGTGAAGTATTTTATTACATTGGCACGTCATTGGAAGGACCAGGGATCTGAAGTGGGTGGTATGGTCTGTCAGTCATATTTATTGTGGGCGAAAGCGGTCAAGACCAAATTTCTGCGAGTCCAAGCTCCAATCCTTGCAAGCTCTTTCTTACCAAGTTACTCGGACTCTGGTCACTTGCAGACACAAAACAAGACAGCCCCTCCTCCCCTCTCTTCCTTCTCGAGAACCCGTCGTCATCATCCCTCATCCTTTTTTTTATTTCATTTTTACTACTAGTCATCTGCACCTCTGACTGGACCTCGGGTGTATTCTCTCTCTCTTCCCAAGATTTTCCATTCTTGTTCTTTTCCTCGAGGACAAACCATCCACAGCTCCCCCTCCTCTCTTACCACCTCTGCTACCACCACGCCTTCAGTACTTGTACCGCTCGTACGAGTATTGCCATCCTCCCTTTTCTCCCCTTCTCCCACCTCAGACCACCAACCTGGCGATGGGTAACATCTTCTCTACTCCCGCCGGGGACGGCATCAGTCCGGAGCAGTTCCAAGAGGTCGAGAAGAAACTCGCCGAGAAGGAGCAGGCCATCACCACCCTCGAGGAGAGTCTCTCCAAGAAGGAGGAGGAGCACGAGACCCTCGCTAAGGATGCCGACCAACTCCGCGAGAAGATCACCGCCCTCGAGGCCAAGCTGAGCTCTGCCGGCCAGTCTGACGAAGAGGCCACCAAGCTCAAGGATGAGCTGAAGAAGAGCGCCGACGAGGCCGCAGAGAAGCTGGCCGCCAGCGAGTCGACAGTCGCTGCCCGCGAGCAGGAGCTGGCCACCACCAAGGCTGAGCTGGCCTCGGTCGAGGAGAAGCTCAAGGGCCTCGAGTCCGAGCTGGAGACGGTCAAGAAGGAGCTGGCCCAGGCCAGCGAGGACCGCGCCGCCTTTGAGAAGACGACCAAGGAGGAGATCGAGGCACTCAAGGTTCAGCTCACCGAGGCCGCCGCCAGGGACGCCTCAGCCCAGGAGCTCAAGGCCAAGCTCGAGGCCGACCTGGCCGCCGCCGCCAAGGACCTCGAGGACAAGAAGAGCGCCGCCGCCGCCTCGGACGAGAAGACGGCCGCCCTGCAGAAGTCGTACGACGAGCTCAAGTCTGAGTCGGAGAAGCACGCCTCGACCCACCAGGGCGCCGCTGACGACCTGCGCTCCAAGCTCGAGACGTCTGAGAAGGCCGTCGAGGCCCACAAGAAGGAGACGGACGAGCTCCGGGCCAAGTTCGACGCCCTCAAGGGCGACCACGACGCCCTGACCCAGGACTCGGCCGCCACCAAGGACAAGCTCGCCGCCGCCGAGGAGCAGCTCAAGGCCGTCCAGGCCAAGCTCGAGACCGAGCTCAGGGCTGCCCAGGATGAGCTCTCCGAGTCCAAGAAGGAGGTCGAGGCCGCCAAGGCCCAGGTTGTCGAGCTCGAGAAGAAGCTCGCCGATGCCTCGTCTGCCTCGTCCAACTCCGCCACCGAGCTGGCCACGGCTCAGGCCAACGCCGCCGCCCTGGAGGAGAAGCTCAAGGAGGCTGCCGCCAAGTACGAGACCGACCTCCGGGCCGCCAAGGACGAGGCCGCCTCGTCCTCGGAGAGGGGCATTGCCGAGGTCAAGGCCAAGCACGAAGCCGAACTCCAGTCCGCCAAGGATGCCGCCGCCGCCACCGAGAAGGAGCTTGCCGAGACCAAGTCGAAGCAGGCGGCTGACGTGCAGGCCGCCAAGGACGCCGCCGCCGCTGCCGAGAAGCAGCTCGAGGAGGCCAAGGCTGCCCACGAGTCGGAACTCAAGGCTGCCAAGGAGGCTGCCGCTGCCGACAAGGAGAAGGACCTCGCCGACGCCAAGTCGGCGCAGGAGTCCGAGGTCAAGGCCGCCAAGGAGGCTGCCGACAAGGAGCTGGCCGACGCCAGGTCTGCCCAGGAGAGGGCCGAGAAGGAGCTTGCAGAGGCCAAGGCCGCCAAGGAGGCTGCCGACAAGGAGCTGGCCGAGGCCAAGTCCGCTCAGGAGGCGGAGCTCAAGGCTGCCAAGGATGCCGCCGCCGCTGCCGAGACGGCCCTCGCCGAGGCCAAGGCCCAGCAGGAGTCGGAAGTCAAGGCTGCCAAGGAGGCCGCCGCCGCCGCTGAGAAGGAGCTCTCCGAGGCCAAGATCGCCCACGAGGCCGAGCTCAAGTCTGCCAAGGAGGCTGCCGCCGCTTCGGAGAAGGAGCTGGCTGAGGCCAAGGAGAAGCAGGAGTCCGAGCTCAAGGTCTTCAAGGACCAGGTTGCCGAGCTCGAGACCAAGCTCAAGGAGGCTTCCGAAAAGCCCGCCGCTGAGGAAGCCAAGGAGGCCGAGGCATAAATCGACCGACACTCTCTCGATATCATGGGAGGAAAAAAAGAGAGAGGAGGAATACCTTTGTCTCGGCCTTGGTTCTTTTATTCAAGGTTAGGGCCGACATAACATATCTTCCCCCTCGGGGTTTTTTTTTGTTTTGGAAAAGAAAAAAAAAGAAAAGAAGAACCACAGTACCAGTATTGTTGGGAATGATTGACGGTCACATGGAACGAATTTCATGACGAACGACACTGGGATTTACATGTTTAATTTTTCGGTTTGCTTTGTTTCTTTCTTTTTTTTCCCTCTGTTTGTTACGCCACTCAAAATACCCAAACTGCTCATCACCCTTCCACCGAGCATCTCCTTCAAGTTTATGGCGTTACCTGAAAGATCTACTATCTTGTTTTGGTTTGACTCGCTTTTCCCTGTCGTCAGCTCTGGCTTCCAACTCCCTCTTCAGATGGAGAAGAGTAAGAAGAGTAATCAGGCTTCCTGAGGACAGCGGAAGGACGAAAGGATGAGCAAACAGGCTATCAGGATTGAGTAGGGACTGCTTTCTTCTAGACAACGGAGCGAGCGTTCGTTCAGGAAATGGGATGGATGGGCTTGTTGTACTTACTAGCACGCTACAAAATGCCTTTTCGAAACGATATACTGAGCGGCTGAACGGTACTAGTAGAAGTACAGATGACACGAATAGACATGTGAATTATGATGATCCCGTTGCTCCCACGCACGATACTTGTTCCTTTGCTCACCCTGTAGGAGTCATCGCCAGCAATATCAACTGGATCCACGGATCGTCGGCCATTGACCTCACTTGGCAGCCTTCATACAGCATGACTGACGATGATACCACCGCCCGTACAAGTCGTCTTGGAAAGAGGGTCAACAGCGACGGCAGCCTGGCTAGTGGACCGTCGTCCATCTCGCTGCAGGCCCAGAAACGACTCGACCTGCGCATGGCTGATAGCCTCAAAGGCCATCTCCCTCTCCTCCGCACAGAAGACCCCGCCGTCGCGGACGAACATGAGCCCGAAATAGACGACGCTGCTGAGGGTGCAGGTGAGCAGCCATCCGACCTGGTAGACGTGCAAGCCTCCGCCGCCGACATCGAGGCCAAAGGTGCCGACGAATCCCGGTACGGGAGGCACGACGGCGACGACGTAGGCAACGACGGCACGCCAGTGGACTCCGCCACTCCAGACGTGACCGCTGCCGCTACCGTTGCCGTACCAGTACCGTCCCTCCGGGCTGTACAGATCGCGGAGATAGATGTTGCCCCTTCTGCAGACGAGGTAGTCCGTCAGGAAGATACCCACCAGCGGGCCGAGGAAGATGCTGTATCCGCCCAGGAACTGGAGGAAGGCGGTTGAGCTGCTGAGGATGCGCCACGGGCATATGGCCAGGCCGAGGATGTAGGACGCGTACATGCCGCGTCTGATGTTGATGAGGCGTGGGAGGAGCGTTGTCGTGTCGGCGCCCCAAGGGATGACGTTTGCCCTAGGAGAGTTCTGGTAAGCATTACCGTTTCGCCCATCCGAGGTTTTGGTTTCCACAAAAAAAACTGTAAAAAAAACTATAAAAAAACATATAAAAAAAAGCCTTCGCTGTGCGCTGGTAAGCAGAGGGGAGCGAGGATATATAGTACCCAAGATTCGAGCCCATGATGGATAATATGAAGCCCAGAGAGACGACAGCGACGGCCGCGCGACTCCCATGACTCCAGTGCCTGTCAAGTATAGCACCGCACAGCTCCCACGGATTCCAGATGAGCTCCCCCCACCCGGCGCGGACGGAGCTCGCGGCCAGCACGCCCAGAGTCGCGCACAGCGTGTTGCCCACGGGGAGGGCCACGAGCTGCGACCACATCGGGGCCGTCCTGGTGCGCGCGTACCGCGCCAGGTCGGGCTGGTTGACTATGCCGGTGCTCGTCTTGCCCATGACGGAGTTGATCCCGCCCACCATCGCCCAGGCGAGGGATGAGCCCTTGAGGAGAGTCGTGCCGCCGCCGTTGCCGTCGCCAGACGAGCCGACGGAAGGAGGAGAAGAAGCGAGGTGACTACCACGACTCTGGAGCATGCAGAATATGAATAGACCTATGGCTATAGGTGGCAGGACGACGGATTTGATGGTGAAGAGGAGGCGGACTCTTGGGATGGGAACGCTGAGCAGGGGGAGAGTCGTGATCCTTTTCCTCGTCAGCTCAAGTCTGTCCCCGACCGGAGATGGAGAGGGAGAGGAGGCGGGAGAGAAAAGAGAGGGGGGAGGCGTGTGTGTATGTGTATCGGGACGGTTGGGTTACCAAAACACCAGGATGCCCACCAGCTCCTGCACAGTGATGTCGCTCGACGCCGGAATCGTACTCGCCAGGTCGGCAAACGACCTGCCAAACACGGCGCGGAACAGCACGGCGGTGAAGTAACCTCCCTGAACGATCTGCACGCCCACCCAGATGGTGCCCACGAGCACGCGCACCACGACGGGGAAGTAAGCTCCTCTCAGACCCCAGGGAATACGGCACGCGACGGGGAAGCCAAAGTGGTAGACTGACGAGGACCGGGAGTGCATCACCATGCCTATGGCGCCCAGGAGGTGAGAGATGAAGATGCATAAGACGGCCTGCCACCATGTCATTCCCAGCGTTACTAGGGATGATCCGGCTGTCCACACACCTGTTGAGAAGCCTGCTCGTCCGAGTCTGTCAGTCTCTCTCTCTGTCTGTCTCTCTCTACTTGAGTTTTCCTCTTCCAATTCATAAAAGAGGAGGAGAGAGAGGGAAGTAAAAGGGGGGAAGGGGGGAGTAGGAACCGTATGACCACCAGAACGCTGCATAATCCCACCACCCCCACGTCCAGTTTCGCATAGGACTTATGTCCAGGTCCTCATTCATCCAAGGGTTGCGATTTTCCAGACGGCCCTGAGCGGATTCCTTGGTCTCGATGGCGGACAGGAAGGCCTTGGGACTCGAGAAGGCTTGCTTGATACTGGCCTTTTTGGCCCGGATTCTTTCGGCAAACATCGTGTTTGCCTGCTCCTGACTCTATACCTGTTTCTGCGGAGGAGGAACGCTGGGGGAGTTCGACCCTGGGCGGTGTCAAGGGGGAAAGAGGGAAGCGGCCAGCCCGACATCATCTTCTTCTACTCGTCCCTGCTGAAGCTAACATGGGCTGCGATAGCAAATTGTGCCGTCCATCGCAACATGTCTGCCATTGGCGTTTATCGCAAGGGGGGGACAAGAAAAGGCCCGCTCAGATAATGGCGTCTGGTGTTGGCTGCTCGGATTCCCGATTTCAAGCGTTATCGCCAACGGGCGCGGGCAAGTCCCCGGACCATGAGATAACGGGCAACTCTCGGTCCAGCTACCTCGAGGGTGCACGTATTAGATAAGGCCATGAGCAGGAAGGTGAATTGTCAGATGGACTACTCTTACGGTGTTTAACCCCCCTCCCGGCGCTCCCACACGTAAGATATCCAGGATCGTCAGCATACATAGACATAGGTGTCCCGACTCCGAGAAAGCTACGAGAACACATCACATGATGGCACCCAGCGCCCTCCCCCCGCAAGAACATGTCACCTTCCACGCCGGCAAGGGCAAGCAGACGCGGCCCGTACTGACGGGGTCGTCCATGAAGCCCACCTTCGACGCGATCCCGGTGGTGGACCTGTCCAAGGCCCGGTCCTGCGATCTGGCGGACCGGCAGTCGGTAGCACGCGAGATAGGCCGGGCCTTTACGGAGGTGGGCTTCATGTACGCCGTGAACCACGGCATAGGCGAGGACGTGCAGACGCGTGTGCGGGACGTGGTAGAGGCCTTCTTCGCCCTGGACCCGGCCGAAAAGATGAAGGTTCACATCAACCGGTCGGCCACGATACGCGGCTACGAGGCCCTCCTCGAGACCCGGCTGGACGACCGCACCCGCGGCGACATGAAGGAGGCCTTCAACATGGCCGACGACCCGTACGAGGCCGAGCAGCGCGCCCCCGCCGACCTCGACATGTCGGCCTACCCCGCCGCCGACCGGGGCCCGACTGGCTCCCTGAACCAGTGGCCCGACCTGCCCCCCTCGTTCCGCCGCTCCATGTACGAGTACCGCGCCGCGGCGCAGGGCGTGGCCTCGACCCTCCTGCGGCTCACCGCCCTGGCCCTGGACCTGCCGGAGGCCTACTTTGACGGCATGGCACGCTTCCCCATGGCCGGGCTGCGCGCGCTGCACTACCCTCCCCAGGGCCGGGACCGGGACGGCGACGGTGGCGCCGTCGGCATAGGCGCCCACGCGGACTACTCGTGGTTCACGCTCGTCAACCAGCTCACGCCCGACGCCGCCGGCCTCGAGGTCCTCGACGCCAACGGTCACTGGGTGTCCGTCCCGCCCCTGGAAGGAAGCCTGGTCGTCAACGTCGGCGACTTCCTCGAGAGGGCCACCAACGACCGCTTCGTCAGCACCGTTCACCGCGTGCGCAACAATGACGGCAGGGGCGTCCACCGTTACAGCCTGGCCTACTTCTTCTCCCCCACCCACGACGTCCTCATCCGCACGCTGCCTACCTGCCTCGGTGAGGGCGGGGACCGCAAGTACGACGATATCAGGGCCAGAGAGTGGCAGCAGCAGAGGCTGCTGAGGGCCAGGACTAAGCATCCTGCCAGTATACTGGCCAAGGAGAGGGGGGAGATTTGATGCTGGCTATTCTTCCTTCGTCTCTAGTCAGTAATAGACAGTTGTGGTTTTAAAGAGGGAAAGATTTCTCAGAGAGAAGATGAATGAGTAGACAGATATAGTTACTCATTGACCCCTATCTATACAAAGTAGTGTTGTGTTGGTAGGATCAAGGCTGCTGTTGTTGAATTATTTAATACATGGACTACTCTACAGATGTAATCTGTACTCGTCCATGTGATATTAATAAATAAGTGGAAATCACAGGTAAATGATATTAGTAGACAGTAGCCTGTAGCTGTCAGCCGACCAAGGTCCTTATTCCGCATAACGTTGCCTTCCCATGACACACTACCTACGGGAGTTTGGCCGAGTGGTTAAGGCGTTGTGTTTAGGCTTATCTGGTCATCCGCAATGTGCATCGCACGCGCAGGTTCGATCCCTGCAGCTCCCATTGTGTTTCCTTTTTTTTCCCTTTCACCTTCCCACTGCTCGGATTTTTTTTGAACATAAATCCGGTCTTTTTTACTTCTAACTTCTTTCTTTTCTACTCTCTCCTACCATACATATATCCCTTATTCACCCGGGTGTGTCTTAGATGCAAACCCCAAACCCCAAACCCCAAACCCCCCCCCCCAAAAAAAAAAAAACCGCAATTACTACCTGTAAATTATGTTTCGGCCAAAGCCGCGTTGTGATATCATACGGGTACTACTAATTCGTACTAGATGTGACAATATATACATGAAATGACACTACGTGTCTGGATAGGACTGGAATTATTAGCATTAGTGGTAGTAGAACTCAAGCTTTGCCTGTTTTTTTCTCTTCTTCTCCTCCATCTCTCTCCTCGGAAACCTGTCGGGAAACGTCTCAGAAAAGAGAAAGAGGGGAGAGAGGCACAGACCTCTTGTGCTTACTTCTCGGGAAAGAGAGAGAGAGAGAAGGCGGCAAAGGTCCCGTGCTTGCTCGTGGTGAACAAAACAAAACGCCTCGCTGTAAGCGCTAAGAATTCAACGTAACCGAGAGTTGATCATCCAGTTGTCCCGCCTCGACCTCATCAGAATCGTTCTTTCTCCTCCTCCTCGAGGGCGGGAGCATCATCGTGCCCTGGTATGTCATGGGCGACGCCGCACCGTTGATGGGTCTCATTAGAAAGAGGTCGGCGCGGCGCAAAGAACAAGAAGCCTCCTATGCCTCAAGGTGGACGCCATATCTTTTTCTCTTCCATCTTCCGTCCGTGAGATGGCACTGACGTGTGATCTCTCGCGGCTCGGTGTGGTAATGGCGTGTGGGTGTATGTGTGTGTGTGTGTGTGTGTGTGTGTGTGTGTGTGTGTGTGTTTTAATAATGCATGTGCTCGCTGTGTTCTTCAAAGTCGGACAAGAAGGATCGTCTCTCATTCGATGAATGGTTTCTTCTGACCGCCGACCATGCAGAGTCCAAGCGCCTGCAGGGCGTTCCGGTCCGTAGCTCGGATCATGGTAGGTGCTGGCAGCATGGGGTTATTCGGGTCGACGTAGGATGCGTCCTTGGCGGCCTGCTCGATGGCGTCCATCTCCTCCTTGCAACCTTGTTGGTCCAGTGGGCAGATGACGATTGGTTGCCGTATGGTGATGTCGCGGGCACCGCTCAGGCTGGCCTGATACAGACGTAGAGTCAGTCATGGCTGGCAGCAGAGCGGCAAGGGAACTGGGACTGGACGTACCTTGACGTTCAGATAGAACTCGATCTTGTAGAGCGTCGACGAGGTGGTAAACGACGTGACCCGATACATGGGCAGAGCGGGCTTCCCCCTCTTGACGATCCCATCCGGGTCCCTGAGGTCCTTGGAGGGGAAACAGAGGCCCATGTTGGTCGCGTACCCGGCCTCGGGAAGCTTCGCCTTGACGGTCTGGACCTGCTTGGCCAGCTTGTTGATCTTCTTGGTGGGCTCGTCGCCCTCGGGGTTATAGGTTATCTCCTCCTCTACGGCGAGGGTGATCTTGTCGACGGTGACGCGCCTAGCTTTGGACAGCACGTCCGGGTTCGGCGAGACCTTGATATATACGGTGATGGGGTCGGTGGGGCCGTAGCTCCAGCGTGGCAGGTTGATGCCCAGGTGGACGATGTTATCGTTGGTGGCCAGCTTCGTCTCGGGCTTGTTGTACATTCCGAATGTGGAGAGGGTGTCGTATCGCTGTAAGGGTATGGGGAAGGTGTGGCGGAACTGGTTGCTGTGGCCCTGCTGGACCGTCACCACCAGCTCGTAGAGCGTCTCGGCCGTGCGGTTCGGCAGCTGCAGCGAGGCGGGCGGGATGCGGCGGTTCATCTCCTCGCCGCCGCGGCCGAAGGGGATGAAGAGCACAAAGGGGAGGTCCATGGCGACGACGTTGTCGGCCTCCTTGCCCGTGGCGCACCGGAACAGGAGCACCTCCTTGCCCACCAGATCCGACGTCTCCCTCCTAGGTGTACCGAGATGGCGCTTCGCCAGGCTGTCTGCGTCCGGGTGTATCGACTCGCGCCGTTGAAGGCATATCCTCACGAGCGAGACGGCGACGGGCATGGAGTAGCCCAGGCCGGGGCGGATCTCTACCTTGCCCTCTATGCGGGGCTGGTCCGTGTTAGCAGAGGACGGTACGGTGATGGGGCGGGGTATGTCTGGAGGGAGCGCCGCGTACCAGCGTAGCGGATATGCCAGGGTACCCGACGAGGAAACCGCTGTTGGGCGGGCCTGAAACCCTCACGGTGGCCGCAGCCGTCCCGTTGGCGGACATGATGGCGGCCAGGTGTGCCCGTGGGCGGATGGGAGGATGTAGATTTTGGGGTTGCGGGGGGGGGGCGGGGACGGGTGGGGGTATGGATAGATGGCGGCGTTCGGTCAACGGGCTGTCGAGGAGGAAGAAGAGGAGGGTCGTAAGGTCTGGTGGAAGGGGCGGTGGCCTTGCAGGGTGGTGGGTGGTGACGGTACCGGGGGCGTCATGGGCCGTCGGCCGAGGAGGCCTCGGATGCAAAGGACCTCGGGTGGGGGGTGATGGTGGCAGCGGTAGCGGGAGACTGGTGTGCCGGCGAATGCGACGGGCAGGCAGGGTGAGATATCCTATATCCGGCGCGGATGTCGGGGTCGTGAGGTCACAGGCGTGGCATCCCAGGTTGTCGCAACAGGATGCGAGGCCGGGTGAGGTGGGGGCGAGCAGGTAAGCAGGGGGGCCGCGGTGGTCGACGAGAGGGCAGGGAACGATCTCGGTCGTGGCCTGTCTGGGCGAGAGGCGACAGACGCGGCGAGGAGGAGGAACGGGCTTCCGGGTGAAAGCGACGGTCGGGATGTTTGGCAGTGGCCGATGAGGAGGAACGGGGAGAAGAGGGCGGTGACGTGATGGGACCTCGCACGAGGTAGAGAAAGGATCGATCAGCTGCAGCTGTGCCTCGTTAGTACGGTTGGTATTCCAGCAGTACCGCGGTCTTGCCAGTAGTAGGCGATGGCACGAGAAGAGAGTACTGGCAATACTCCGTAGCAAGGTCAAACGAACAAGAATAGGCTACAGGGCTGCACGAGTAGGCTGTACACGCAGTATCCATAGCAGTCCATGGCAGTCCACAGTAGAGCCGGTCACGAATGGATCCATGGACGACAGAGGGACGACTCGAGTCCCCCAACTCCGACTCCGACCTCTGGCTGCTGCTGCTGCTGCTGCTGCTGATGTCGCTGCTGGGGCTTGTGGGCGGGCGGGGCGGGGCAGTGGCTCGCATGCTGCCTCCCACGTCGGGGGCTGCGTCGCTCATAAAGACTCCAGCTCCCCCAAGGGCCCCCCCCAGGCAGGGAATCTACCGTGTCCGCCTAGCGTGATTGCCCTGGCCACGGGCCTGGTACTATCCAATACCGTGGAGGTCTACGCCACTACAGGTACGTGTGACTGCCTAGCTACTGCCACCATCAACAATACCGACCGGTAGCCATCCAGGTGACGGTCAGACAGCGAGGCACGTCGCAGCCAGAGGCGCGGGTGGCCAGTAGCGATGTCCCGTTATCCGCCGTGATCACGCATGGACGCTCCTACGGCAGGTCAACTCTGCACTCGTCGTCGTGCACGGCAGCCGTTGTCGGAGACCAGGAGGAAGAGTCGCGTCGAGGTCTTACGAGTATTGCAAGCATTAGCGAGTACGACGCTATCGTTACCCTGTAATCATACTTCTGGATATAACAAGACGTCTCGGCCTTGTGCCACAACCGACACGCAGGATACAGGCGAGCAGCGGGGCGGTAGCTGCATCGGCCGCTGACCCGTAGGACGTCACGACGGCTCACCGGGATTGTTTGATCATACTCGCCGTTTCACAGTGATACGTGGTGATATCGCATCAGAGCCCTGCGTAGGTGGCTGAGGACACGACACGACGCGCCGCAGCATCGTGGCGTTTGCCGCGAGTCCTACCGTCCTCAGTCTTACAGGCTACAGCCTACAGGTGACAATAGATGGACCTGTGCTATGCGGTGCAGACTGCAGGCTGTGAACGATCCCCAGAGCCTAGCAGCATCAATGTATCGATACCTGTACAGACTACAGATTACAGATCAGGCTCTTAGCTCTAGAGGTACGAGTACCTGTAATATTCCATACTGTTGCATTCGTGTCGTAGTGTGCCCCAGTAGAGGTAAAATCGGAATCAGGACGCTTGGACCCTGGCGGGGATCTGGCATGAACGTTTTGACGACAGATAATTCCATCGAAAATAGAAGAAAAAATTCATGTTCTACCATTTACCATTTACCATCTGCGCACTCCATCTCCCCTCCCCCCCCTCGCTTTCGCTCTCGCTCTCTCCGTGTCACGACATCATCGTCAACAACAACAACAACAACAACAACAACAACAACAGCAACCGACAAGTACACTCTCCTCCTCCGATCCGCACAAACCCTCCCCCCCAACCCCCCAACCCAGTATGTCCGTCACCCTCCACACGTCTCTCGGCGACGTCAAGATCGAAGTCTTTTGCGACTCGGTCCCCAAGACGGCCGAGAACTTCCTGGCCCTCTGCGCCTCAGGCTACTACGACGGCTCTGCCTTCCACCGTCTGATCCCCGGGTTCATGGTCCAGACCGGCGCACCCGCGAATCCCTCGCCCCCCGAGAACCCCAAAGGCGGCCGCTCCATCTGGGGGTCCCCCTTCGAGGACGAGATCAAGCCGGCCCTGCGCCACGGCACCCGAGGCATCGTCTCCATGGCGAACAAGGGACCGGGGACGAACGGCTCGCAGTTCTTCATCACCTTCGACAAGGCCGCCCACCTGGACGGCCTCAACACGGTCCTGGGGAAGGTCATCGGCGACGACAGCCTCGTCACCCTGTCCAAGATGGAGGCCGTCGATGTCGACAAGAAGAGCAGGCCCAAGGAGCCGTTTCACATCAACAGCATTACCATTCACGCCAATCCGCTGGCAGAGTGAAGATCTCTACCCCCTCCTCTCCGCTCGCTCCTCACTCTACATCTTATCTCGGCATGAACAAGAGCACACATGCACGCACAGAGAGAGACTTCGAGTCTTCGTCTTCTTCTCGTATTATTGATCGCCCAGTCTATGTTAATCTATGATCCGCTACAAAGGGAAAAGTAAGACCTCAACAAGAACAGGAGTGGAGAGCGAAACGAGGACCGAATCCAGCAGGACGACACCCTCTCTCAACTCCCGCCCACTCGGAGCACCTGAAAACAAGACTCTCTCTCCTGCACTCGGCACCGCTCTGCTCAGTATCAATCGTCGGAACCGGAACCTTGTCAGCAATCACCACCTGTCGGGGCCACTTACCGCCGCACGCTGTACCGTCCTTCTCCACGCGCTGCCGGCTCTCAAATCATGCTGTCGCCCCATTGGAGATGCATGATGGGGTCGCCGCTCCGGAAGCCCATGGGCAGGGGGTGGGACTCGTGCCCGATCCAGACGACGTCAGCCCACCTGCGCGAGGCGAAGCTGAGCATGAGGACGCGGAAGTCCCAGACGGGGCGGCCCTCGAGGATGCGGGCGGTCCTGACGCGGCAGATGCCGCTCTCGTCCTCGTCGGTCAGGAACAGCAGCGTCGTCACCATGCCGTCCAGATCGCCGCCGCCCCAGCCGGGCATCCAGCCCCAGCCGACGGGCACGCTGATCTCGGACTGGAGCACGCGGCGCACGTGCTTCCACGCGTAGGTGGCCGACTCGTCCGGCGGCGCCATCATGCGCTCGAGGTTGCCCCTGCTGCGGAGCCGACGCATCTCCTCCCGCCGGTGGCTGTGGTCGTCCATCACGAGGCGGTTGAACAGCCAATCGTACCTGCTGTCGCCGACCCAGTCGTCATCGCGGCGAGGCCGGCGCACGCCCTCGAGTATGTCCAGAGCCTCCATGCGGTTGCGGGCAACCTCGACGTCGACCTCGGTGTTGACGGAGCTGGCGGCCCGGTCGCTGGTGGCTGCGTCGTCGCTATCGGCTGTGTCGTCGCTATAGTTGCTGCTGGAGTCGGAGTCGGGGTCGGGGTCGGAGTCGGAGTCGGAGCTGCTGTTGCGCTGCTGCTGTCGCCGCCCAATCGGCTGCGGCGTCTCGGGACGGGGCGGACCCCGGAGCAGTTCGAGGGCCCTCTGTCGCTGGCGGAGCACCTCGGTGATGCTGCCGTTGTTTCTGATGATGGAGTTGATGACGACGTTGTCACGGAGCTTCTCGCTTACGGGGATGTTGGCTCGGAGCATGGCGAGCATCTCTCTCTGGTTGCTGTCAGCGTCGTCGCGGGTGATGTGCTGCTGCTGCTGCTGCTGCTGCTGCTGCTGCTGCTGCGACGGCGGAATGTTCTCACCACTGTGAATGCTGCTGTCATCTTGCCTGCCACGGTCAGTCTGGTCAAGGAAGAAGGGGAGCCACACATCGGAAACAGGCCTGTTATACTCAGAGCCGCAGTCAGCGATCTCGGCCATGGCCAGGATCCTAGCCCTCTCGGTGGCCTCTGCGGCGGCGGCCTTGTTAGTCTCGGAAACGACGCTGTCCATGAACTGCTTGAACTTGTCTTGGCTGCCAAAGTGGACCCAGTACTCCTGCCGGTCTCGTCCGGAGTGGTCGACAGGGAGGTTGATTCGGAGGATGGGGGGACCCTGCGAGCGACGAGGCCGACGACGACGGGATCCGGATGAGTCCATGCTATTCTTGTCAGTCGGGGAAGGTTGAGAAGGAGAAAGAAGAAAAGATGAATGATGGAGAAGAAGTTGTTTGGTTGGAAGGTCTTTTTCTTTTCTTTCTTTTTCGAAATCTGGGAACGAAGACGGGTTTATATCCTTTTTTTCTTCTCCATCCCTTCCTCATCTTTTTTTTTTCTTCGTGAGCTATGAAGTTGCTTGATGGGCATTGTCTCCTCTGACAAAGGGGGGGGGGGCTCTGTCTCTTCAACGTTCTTGTCTTTGTCATTTTTGTCTCTGAGAACCAAAAGTCATTGTTGTAGTATCCCTGGGCGAAACATTTGAGCGAGGGACAATTGTCAGTATCGCGTGTGAGGTTTCCCTGTACAAGATCGATTGATATGCTGGTGCGGTCGTTTCTTGGTCATCACAAAGACGAGACGAGGACAAGGGAGAGAGAGTTCTTTGTCTCCCCACTGCACACTGCTGCCGGTTTCCGTGAGGGGCAAAGGAATACATCGTGTCACACATAATACAGTATTACTGTTCTTTGTTCTCTTCCCGTTTCCTATCTCCTCTCTTGTTTCTTTTTTTTTTTTTTTTTTTTTGGGGGGGGGGGGTTTCTTACACAGCGAGTGCTCCTTTTCTCATCAGAGTTAGAAACAGGACATGTCGTAGCAAACGAACTATCCGTTTCACAGAACTTCTCTACTCTCTTGACAAAGGGAATTACACATGAGGTGAAGGAAAAAGGAAAAAAGGAAAAAATAAAAATAAAAAAGAGGGAGGTTGTGTCTTTGTTATAAGAGAGAGTAAGCTGTATATTACATAGTGTTCGATTCATGTCCCATTTCTGTTCTGTCTGTAACGTGTATTGTCTGTAATATTTGTATATTCTTTTCCCCTCTCTTGTGTAAAGCTGTTATTCTCGAAACAAAACAAGATAAATAGATAAATAAAGACAAGAAAAAACAGTAATCCTCGCCGTCCCAAGACGCTAATCATGCCCACTCTTGGAGGAAGGGGGGGAGAGAGAAAGAATGAAGAAGAGAAGGGGAGGGGGGGAGGATCCCAAGATTCAAACTCATTAAAGTACTAATATTTGCTTTGATCTTCTCTTATTTCCCGTATCAAACAACAGAGAAGGAGCAGGAGCAGGAGAGGAGAAGAAGAAGAAGAAGAGGGAAAAGAGAGGTGATCCCATTCTGATGAAGAATAGGGAAGATGGTTTTTTTTTAGGATTTTTTTAACAAAAATTGAGGAGGTGGGTTTGAGGAAAGTGAATAAAAATGCAAAGCAATCACCGGAGAGTAGCGGTAGCTCAAGATGAAAAGAAAAGAAGAAGAAAAAAGAGAAGGGAAAAAAAAAGAGACAAGAGCAGGGGGTAGAGTACATTCATCGCATCCTTCTCCTCTTACTAGTCACATCATCCTCATCCCTAACCACCTCCTCCGTCATGACGGAGCTGGGCGTATTCCCGTTCGGCGAAACTGCGGGTTCCATCTTGACGGGCGATGCGGAGGCGCCGGTATCGGGGTCGGATCCGGCGCCGATGGCGGTGCCGAAGTCGAAGTCGTCGCCCGCACCGCCGCCCAGGCCGCCGTCGTCGAGAAAGGCCGTGCTGTCAAAGTACTGGTCTAGATCGACGTTTTGCGGATCAAAGTAGCTGCTGATGCTGTTGCTGCCGTTGTTATTGTTGCCGTTACCGCTGTTGCCGTTGTTATTGTGGTCCAGGGATGGCGACGAAGGATGGATGACGTCGTCGAGGAGCGGGATGCGTCCCGACGGGCTGAGCGGTCCCAGCATGCCGGACAGCTCGTTGATCCTGGCGTCCTGCTGCGCCTGCAGCTCCTGGAGGCGATCCAGCTCCGACTGGTTGGTGCTGATCTGGTTGATCGAGAGCGGCTGCATGGCCGGGGAGTGCAGTATCGGGGAGAGGGAGGGCGGTGCCGGCTGCGTCGGTACCCCCGGGGACGGTGCCGCCCCCGACGGCCGTGGCGTCGGTGCGGCTGACGATCTGGGCGTGGCCGAGCCGGCCTGGCGGCTGCCGCGGGACGACGGCTGCTGACGGCTCATCAGGTTGGCCAGCTGGTCGCGCTGGTCGCTGTTGAGGTTGGGCGGCGTGTTGGCCACGAAGTCGGCCGCGTCGCCGAGGTCCATGCCGCCCAGCGAGTTGGCGCTGTTGTGGTTGTTGATGATGCGCATCATCTGCTCCTGCGGGTTGTTCTCCAGCTCGTGCTGCAGCGTCGGCGGCGTCTCGCCCGAGTTCGTCGGTCCGTCCACCAGCTCCGTAACCTGGCCGGTCTCCTGAAATCGGGGATAGCCTCCGCCTGCCGCCGCGCCTGCCGCGCCTGCCGCCGCCGAGCTGCGTCTGTTGACGCCGAGGCCGGACGACGCCGATCTCGTCGACGACGCCCCGTTGGGTATCGGCGGCAGCAGCCCGCGAGCCCTCTGGTGGTGCGGGGTCGTCGAGAGGGTCGCGGTCGAGTCCGGGCTGTTCTGGAAGTAGTCGCCCAGGTCCACCACCGTGCCCTGCTGCGCGTTGCCGTTGGCAGCCGCCGCCTGCTGGCTGGCCAGGATGCTGGAGAAGATGTCCCCCGCGCTCTGGCTGCTGCCCTGCTCCTCGAGCGACTTGCGGAACAGGTTGGCGAGGAAGTGCAGGATGGCGTTGATGGAGTTCTGGTGCCGGTCGTGCTGGTTCTGGAACAGGAGCGCCTGGTTGTACAGGTCGCGGTTGTTCTGCTGCAGGTGCGAGATGGTGCGCGATATCACCTTCTGCTGCTCCCGCACCTGCTTCAGCTCCTCGCGGATCATGGATATCTCCTTGCGCTGCAGGCCGCCGTCCCCTCCCAGCCCTCCGGCTCCTCCCGCCGCGGCCCCTCCGACCCCTCCGGCTCCGACTCCGATCCCTCCGGCTCCCGCTCCTGCGCCCGACGTGGCCACCACCGTTGCCGGCAGAGCCTTGGGTGCGTGCTGGACGCCGCCCGGCGCCTGCACGTGGTGTCCGTGGCCGAGGCCGTGGCCGAGGCCGTGGCCGTGACCGTCGTCGTGCAGCCCGCCGCCGAGGCCGAGCTCTTCGTCGCTGTCGGGCTCCTCGCTCTTATGCGTCTTCTTGTTGGCGCCCTTGCCGCCGCTCTTGGGCTTGTTGATGAGCCAGAGCAGGTTGGGGTGGCCGCGACGGAAGTAAGGGTTCGAGTACTCGCTAGGGCTCTTGTTCTTGCGCTCGCTGGCCCGCATCGAGTTGTCCGACAGCCCGACGCGCTTGTGGAAGCCGTACATGTTGAGCTGCCGCACAAACGAGGCGTAGTTGTTGTGCTTGAAGAGTTCGGGGATGAGCGTCTTGGCGAACTCGTCCTCGTCTAGGACGACGAAGGAGTCGCCCTTATTCGACCAGCGGATCAGGTCTTCGTTTTTGCCCTCCTCGAGGAAGCTGTTGCGCGGGTTCGGTCAGCCATCGCGCCTACCGCTGTCGAGCCGGATCCGTCAGGATGACGACGGCAGTACGTACCTGCTGAGTTTCTGGACAAACGGGGGGATCTGCTTCCTCTTGGCCAAGGCCTCTCTCTTGGCCTTCTGAGCCCGCTCCTCCATATCCTCAATGTTCTCCTCACCGGGGTTACCGGTCCCGTCGTGGTTCAGCGGGACCAGAGATGAAGACGACGATGTCGTCGTCGTCGTCGTCGCCGCCGCCGCCGCCGCCGCCGCTGCTGCTGCCGCTGCTGCCGAGCCCGCTCCGTCGTCGGCGCCGCCTCCCATAAAGCTGGCCCAGCTGGGATCGAAGCTGACCTGAGAGGGGTCCGGCATGAAGCCCTGGTTGACGGGCCGTCGGGCGAGCGAGCTGGAGGGGTTCGCGGCGGTGCTCAGACCCTGGGGGAACTGGCGCTGACTCTGGATGAGGTCGTACGAGTTGGCGGGCGGCTGGGCCACGCCGGCGGGTCCGGCGGCGGAAGTGCCGTCGACGAAGCCGGCCATGGGATCGGCAGCGCCGTTCCACCGGACCATCTGGTCGGCGGCGGCAGGCGCGTACGCCGGCGGCTGCGGCTGCTGCTGCTGCTGCTGGTTCTGTCTGGGGACCATCGGTGTCGCGCCTGGAGCTGCCCGCTTCCGAGGGTTCGAGCTGGACATTTGGTGACGTGGCGCGCGGTGCGGGAACGGGAGGAGGGTTGGGACCTCTGCTCTGCAGAGCCCTTGTACAGCTTCCCCCCGGGCACACAAGAGAGCGAGGAAAAGAAGAGCGCTTCGGAAGGGTATGGGCCGGTTATCCGACTGGTCCGCGGGAGAGAGGGTTGGACGCCTAAGGTCTTCCCTCGAAGTATGGCGCAATGGAGGATAACGCGCGACGTAGGAGGGGTTTCAGTTTCCGATGCGGTCGCTTGATAATGGGGGGGGGGGGTTATATTATTCTATCGATTGAAGTAGAAGTGGGTTTTTTGTCCTTCTCTTGTCTTTTTTCTTTTTCTTTTCTTTTCGTGTCGGGTCGTGATAATTCAATGTCTGTTGTAAAAAAAAAAAAATCAAAAAAACTAGAGTGCGGAGGAAGAGGAGGGGGGAGTTGGATGGGAAAGCTCTGTGGTGATCTCGATATCGCAGCCAAGCCTGCCGAAAAAAAGAAAAAAAAAAGATTAAAAAAAAAAGATAAATTAGAGGAGGGAGAGGGAGAGAAAAAAAACGGGTGACCGATACCCAGCCAAATGCTCGATCTAGCCGACGTTAGTCACTAAACGTGTCTTTTCCTTCACTCTACAGCACACACCGCTTACCAGGTTGACGATTCAGATAGAAAGGAAAATACTCGCCATGGAGTTGGGGGAGATTTGCCATAACGGTCGTCAATTGGAGTTGATTCGTTTGATGGTGCTCTTGTTCGCTGTCATTGTGTGAATCTGAATCTCTCCAAGTAATAAGATGTTTTATCTCGCGTACTGATTACTAGTACAGCAAGCAATACGGAGTACGAGGTAGCAGTACATGGTACTGTAGTAGCACATGTAGTAGAGCAGTACATATGGTAGGTAGCATCACATACAGCAGTACTCGCAGCAGTACTTACAGCGGTACTTACGGCATCAGTACATATACTCCGCCGTAACTGTAGCTGCTACGGAGGCTACGGTCCGGGGTGGGGAGAGACCTTAGAACCTCTTAGAGAGAGGGAGGGAGAGAGGGAGGGAGAGGGAGGGAGGGGGAGGGAGAGGGAGAGAGGGGTAGAGAACTCGGGCAAGTGCACATTTGTTGTCGTCGTTGTTGTCGTCGTTGTTGGTGGTGGGGATCTTTGCCCATGCGACTGACCTACTCTAGAAGTGCTAAGATACCGGGGGGGGGGGGGTTGGGTTGAGAAGAAAAGCGCTGCTAACCGCCCCCTGGCCTCCCAAGCCTGGTCTTGATAGCATCAGATCAAGACAGAGATGAGATGCCGGGTAGAGGGTGTCTGAGGGAGGAGAATGGGGGGGGGACGGATAGAATGGCAGCCGCCGTCAGATGGTTGTGTGAGACAAGAGAGCATCCATCAAAACTGCCGATTCCAGACTCCCATGTTGGAGATATCGATTTCTGCCTCTCGTATTCTTATTGATATCATGCATCTCTACCACTCCTAGAGTCGTGCTATTACGTACTCCGTTACCGGTAATTATTCCCCTGCACAGATTCCCCATCAACGTCATTCAGTGCCGAAACACCCTTTTTTTTCTTCTTCTTTGGCCAGCTAGTAATACAGTATTGATAATAATACGGTCCCACACCTACAGGTTACGGGAACATCGTTGAAGCATGTGTGCACGTATGACATGTCGTCGTCTGTCCCGCATATTTCCGCTCCTGCTTCCAGATCTACACCCGATTACACGATATATTATTATACGCTGGCCAACCCTCCCTCCCGCATCCTACTTGGCTCCCCTCCCTGCCAGAGACGACGCCTGCGCCAGCTTCGCATTCCGAGCTTGGTCCCTCTTCTGATCCCACTGCCTGCTGCTGCTGCTGCCGCCGCCGCCGCCCCTCCTCTCCGCCGCCCTCTTGCTCTCCTTGAACGACCTCGCCTTTTCCCTGGGATCGATCACCACCAGCTCCTCCTCGGCCTTCTTCCTGTTGCTCAGGTCCTTGCCGAGTCTGTCCGCCGCAAACGAGAGGGAGTGCGACATCCAGCCCATGTCGTCGTCCTCCTCCTCCTCCTCCTCTTCCCGCGCACCATTCTCATCCCACGCCGTGCAGCTCTGACAGTTGGCGATGAAGTGCAGGTCGCACAGGTCTGCTTCGCCTGCATCCGCGCCCCCGTCATGATCCTTGCCGTGATCCTGCTGCTGCTGCTGCTTCTTCTTCTTCTTCTTCTCTGGTGGTGTCGTCGTCGTGGCTGCAGTGCTGTTGCCGAGCTTGGACTTGAACGCGTCCAGCATCCGTAGCACCTCGGGATCCTCGCGCGCCGCGGTGCCGGGCCGTCTCTTCCGTGCGCCGCGCACGGAGTTCTCGGGGATCATGGAATCGAGCGTAGACTTCTTCCTCTTCTCCGGTCGGACGGCTGCCTCCGTGTGCACCGTCCGTCGTAGCGAGGCCTTGATGGCCGCCATCTCCTCGTTGGCCCTTTCCAGAGCCGTCTTTTGCCGTTCGGGTTCTGGTGATGGTGATGGTGACGCTGTAGGCGAGCATCTCTTGCCGGTCTCCTCCTCCTCCTTCTTCTGCCGCTGCTGCACCTCCTCCACCTCCTTCTCCTGTGTCTCCTTTGGCGGCGTCTCCCTTGGCGGTCTCTCCTTTGGCGGTACCCGCGTCTCCTTCTTCGACTTCGGCTTTGGCTGTTTCGGCACCGGCCCTTCCTCCTCCTCCTCCTCCTCCTCCTCTTCCGCAATGATCCTCGTGTCAAACTTAGCCTTCTTCGGCACCGGCACCTCTTCTTCTTCTCCACCCTCCTCATCCCCGAAACTGAGCAGCTGCTTGCCACCCTTTCTCTTCTTCCTCTTCTCCGGCTTCTTCTTCTGCGCCGTCGACGGCACAGCTACCCTCTCCCTCTTCTTCATATCGTCAAACGGATTGACCAGGATCTCTACCCGGTCAATCTTGACGGGGTACATCGGTCTATCCGTCCCCTCCACCACCTCCGACTCCCCAATCTTGGCCAGGTTGTAGATGGTCTCGCCCGCCACGCGTCCGAACAGGGTGTTCTTCCCGTTCAGCTCCTCCGCCTTGTCCAGCGTGAAGAAGAACTGGCTCCCGTTGCTGTCGGCCCTCCCGTCGTTGGCCATGCCCAGCAGCCCCCTCCGGTTGAACTTGAGTCGCGAGTGGAACTCGTCGCGGAAGTTGACCCCGTGCTCGCCCGCGTTTCGCCCCCTCCTCATCTCCATCGGCCACGGGTCCAGGTCGCCCGACAGCGCCCCGCCGTCGTAGATGGACTCTCCGCCGTTCCCCGTGCCCGTCGGGTCGCCACCCTGCACGATAAATCCCGACACCAGCCGGTGGAACACGGTCCCATCGTAGTACCCGTCCAGCGCGAGCTGCAGGAAGTTGCGGCACGTCAGGGGCGTCTGCTTAGCGAACAGCTCGACCGAGATCTCGCCCAGCGTCGTGTGCAGGATGGCCGACGCCGTCGGCTGTGGCTCGAGGTTGTAGATTGCCGACATGGCTGCCGTCGCTGCGGTCCTGCTGCAGGAACGGTGGGTGGTGGCGGCGGCGGCGGCGGCAAGCGCGTCTTCGTTGACGCCAAGTTCGCGTATGTGTGTCGGAACGTACACTGGTAAGTGGTGGTGGTTTGTCAGTTCGTCACGAACGGAGGAATGAGGTTGATGACGATGCAGGTTGGGAGATGTCAGCCTTTTTTTTGTCTACGATTTCTTGGCGGCGCGCCTCTCAAAAATGGCCATTATCGATAAGGATCATGAGCATCACATGATTCTCTCCGCGCAGCGGCTGACGTATGTTACGTACATCATCTGCTCACTTCTTGTAACATCATCCCTTTTAATGTTGTGCAAAAAGGTTTGACTTTTTTTTAAAAAAAAAATAATTCTGTTTATTTTCCATATATCTGGATCGTAGATAAAAAAAAAGACAAGTACATATTCACATAATAGCACATTCGCTAGACCCCCACGGCCGCTACGTGGTTAATTTCGAAATCATGACCAAGAGTTCCTTCCAACACGCGTACCCTTCCCCGGCTGCTTTTTAGAACAAAGGTCCGCCCAGGCGGATACCAACCGACTTGTTGTGAGTGTAGCTGGCCAGGGCGGCCTCGCCCAGCTCGCGGCCGATACCGCTCTCCTTGTAGCCGCCAAAGGGAACCTCGGCGGTGAGCATGCTGGAGGGGAGGGAATGTCAGCGAGTCTGGCCTGAAAGGTAAGAAGGAGTGGGGTTGGTGAGCATACTTGTAGCAGTTGACCCAGACGGTACCGGCCTTGAGGGCCCTGGAGACGCGGATGGAGGTGTTGAGGTCGGTGGTGTGGACGGCAGCGGCGAGACCGTAGGTGGTGTCGTTGCCCAGCCTGATGGCCTCCTCCTCGGTCTTGAACTTGGTGATGGCGCAGACGGGACCGAAGATCTCCTCCTGCATTATGGTCATGTCGTTGGTGACGTTGCTGAAGATGGTAGGCTTGATGAAGTAGCCGACGTTGCCGTGACGCTCGCCACCGACCTCGACCTTGGCGCCCTCCTTCTTGCCCGTCTCGATGTAGCCCATGATGCGGTCGTACTGAAGCTGGCTGACCTGGGGGCCCTGGAAGGTCTCTTCGTTGAAGGGGTCTCCCACCTTGTTCTGCTGGCTGCGCTTCTTGAAAGCTTCGAGGAACTTGTCGTAGATGCCCTCCTGTACGAAGATGCGGGTACCGGCGCAGCAGCACTGGCCGTGGTTGTAGAAGATACCAAAGTTGACCCACGAGATGGCCTGCTCAATGTCGGCGTCGTTGAAGACGATGTTGGGCGACTTTCCGCCGAGCTCGAGGGTGACCTTCTTGAGGTTAGACTCGGCAGCGGCCTTCAGGATGGTGCGGCCGACGACAGTGGAGCCGGTAAAGGCGATCTTGTCGACGTCCATGTGGTACGACAGGGCCGAGCCGGCGACGCGGCCGAATCCCGAGACGACGTTGAAGACGCCGGGGGGGAAGCCGGCCTCCTTGACCAGGTTGGCAAAGACGAGGGCAGACAGGGGGGTCTGCTCGGCAGGCTTCATGACGATGGTGTTTCCGGTGGCCAGGGCGGGGCCAATCTTCCACGAAAGCATCAGGATGGGGAAGTTCCAGGGGATGATCTGAGCGCAGACGCCAATCTACACGGGTGAGAATCCGGTTAGTCACGGAGTTCAGTCTGACGAGAGAGCAGGGGATGGGAAGCGTACGGGCTCGTAGCGGGTGTAGTGGAACATGTCCGGAGCAACATCGATAGTCTTGCCCTGGATCTTGTCGGCCCAGCCGGCGTAGTAGCGGATACACTTGATGACGGCACTGACGTCGCCCCTGGCCATGGTGATGGACTTGCCATTGTCGAGCGACTCGACAGCGGCGAGGAGGTCGGCGTTCTTCTCGACCAGGTCCGCCAGCTTCAACATGAGGACGGCGCGGCCGTGGGGAGGGACCTGGCTCCATTCGCCCTCAAAGGCCTTGCGGGCGGCCTTGACGGCAATGTCGATATCCTTCTCGGTACCCTCGCATACGGAGGTGATGACCTCCTCCGTGGCGGGGTTGATGACCTCGAACTTCTTCTTGTCAACACCCTCGACCCATTCGTTGTTGATGAACCTGGACGCCGAGTCAGTAACAGAGGTACGTGAGTATCATGTCTCTGAGGGAGGACGCCGACTCACAGGCCGATGGGCTGCTTGTACGTCCCGGTGATGGGCGTGTGGAGGTCGACTGTGAGGCTCATGATGGCTTTGTGTGTGTGTTGTGTGTGTGTGTGTGTGTGTGTGTGTGGTGTGTTGGGGTGTAGGGAGGGTGGTGTAGGAAGGGAGGTATCTCTGAGAATGTGTGGATGAAAGAGATGTCTGATGTGTAAGTAGTGAAGATGAAGAAGTGAAGATGAAGAAAAGATGAGGAGAGGAAGAAGAAAAACAGTCGATGACAAGGAGGGATGTCAGGCCTCTAAGTACATGGCGCTCAGAGAGAAAAGGGAGAGAGGGAAAGACGTAAACAGGTGGAGAGCGGGAAACGGTGCCTTGGCTTGGCTTGGCTTGGCTAGTCGGAGTTACGGGACCGCAATGGACGGAGCCATGGAAGACGGAGAAGGACTCAAGGAAGCCAGCCAGCAGCTCACATGAGGGCGTCACTGACACGCAGGCAAGACTTCCCTGCTGGTCAGTCTCGGACTGGTACGTCTCGTACCCGTACAGGTTGGTGGGGTGGGAAGAGGGTCCTTGGGTCTCCTCTGACGTCGGTTCCGACCCCTGTTACGCTGTAGCCCAAGGTGACTGTCGGCCATGGATGGTAACGACGACGGCGAAGATACGGCGGAAGGATACATGTAGCGAGCTCGTTGCTACTCGCAAGGAGTGCAGCTGCTAGCGGTAATACTCGCAGCACTCGGGGATCTCGAGGTACGCTGCCTGGTGGTACATCATTTTACTCCATCCCCCAATATACCCCGCTCTGGAGCAACTAGATGTGGCGCTTTTCGCCCCTCAATGTGGAGGACCCAGATTATTCCAAATTAACGGCGAGCGGTGATTGGTTTCGGGTGCATGCAATCTGTGCTTCCATCCAGCATGGACTCTTTTTGACCTCGACGCTACTGGTAACGGTATAACACGCACGTGCAGCGATGAATGCATGCACCACCAGTGCTGTACTGCAGTATTACGGTACTGCCGCTACTGCTGGTGATGGTGGTGATACTACTAGTAGTGGCATTGCCAGAGCAATCGACCTACAGATTCTTCCATTCTGCCGCGAACCTCGCTCCCGGACATGACATGTAGCGGTGCTCAACTCTGGGTGCGGGGAAGCAGTATACTCATACTATTACGTTGCATCGCACTGCCTAAACTTGCTAACGGATATGCTGAACGCTCTACAGATTAGCCTGCCCTTGATCCACGTAGGCCTGTACGACCTCTTCAGGCCTGTATCACGGCAGATGACAGTCCAGGCCTGCGGATATCATATTGCGGCGTACCAGGGCAGGTATGGATAATTGCGCTACGAGAGGCTCCTGCCTCTTGGCGGGGTAAAGTCTCCTCCCCATCCATACATCCCTGACAGGTTCCTACTTTCATCTTCCGCCCCCCCCCCAATACTCTCACCAACCAGCCCGGCGCGAAAGGCGTGCGGCCGTGGACAGACCCCAAAGTTCCTCCTCTCCCCAGCTGCCCCATCAAGGTTCCAGAGCCATGATGACCTCCCAGAAGCGCCCCAGGTCCCGCACCGCTGGTGAATGATGACATGTTCCGCAACGGGACAGGGTATAGACCCATACAAGGTCGATTGCGGCTCCGAGGCACTGTGGGGATGGAGGAGGGGCGGCCATGACTTTAAAATTCTCACTATTAACTGGCATATGGAGAGATAGTGCCGTATACATCTCCCCCGCCCTTTTTTTCTGGTGTCTCCTCCGCAGGAGCGGGCCAATGACGCCAACCATCCCTCCCTCCACGACGCTAGTGCACATTACGCCCCAGAGAGTTCTTGGGGGAGACGGATCAGAAAAAGGAGGGTGGGAAGGATGTTGCCCCAGTCTCGTGGACACAATACCGCCGACCGGGGCTGCGGATGCGCCAACACTACGGACTACGGGTCAGGCGGGTGGGGGGAGGAAACGAAAGGGAAGAGACTCAGAGAGCGAGAGAAGGAGACTGGAGGGCGGGGTCTGGCTCATGGAGTAGGATTCGTAATACGGAAGATTACAGACAACCACACAGAGAGGTATGGGGAAAAAGTCAAAAATAACGGCACATGATGCTTCACCTGAGTCGCTCCCCAATCTATCATCTCGTAGGGGTACGGGATTACGGAGCTCGGATCCCTGCTGGTTGTGGCATCCGCATTACTCCACGGGGTACTATTCTCTGTTGTTAGCAGATGCTCCTCTATTGATGATTCTGATATCTCTTTCGTTTTCCCAACATGGTATCTGGTCATCACCTCTACTCCTCCAACCTGCCCCAGCTTTTCTCCTGGCACAGTGCGCTTTCGGCGTAAAGGATAGCGAAACAAGTGTGTGTAACGCGGCTCCGCAAATCGATACAATCCTACCAATCATACGAGCGAGCTCTTTCCTTTGTCATGCAGAGTAGCAGTTGCGCTGTATTGTCAGCGCTATAATAATAGATATACAGATTAGTGTTGCTAGAAATGATCATCCTTATTCAATCCACGACTCCACGACAAAGACCATCCAGAGCTACTGTCGCAGCCCCCCCCCCCCCTTTTTTATTTTTCCTTTTCTGAACCGCAGGCGGGGCTGTCTCCTTTGATGCGAAACTGCGCCTCCTTGGGTCGTTTTACTCCTGTTGAACATGCAACCGATCTACATGTACGGAGCTGTACATGTATCATCAGGTACTGACCAGGGAAACGAGCTGCATCGCAATTAAAGCCACCTACGCAGCTGCCCTCGGTGGGTTGAAGAGGATCAACAACGCCGAGAACAGCACCGCACAGAACGCACAGCACGTGATAGGCTCGATTTCTTACAGTCGATTATTAATAATAACTCGGAACCATCTTGTTCAACTGCTCTCCTCCGAATCTCTCTTTGAGCCTCTGTTGAGCCTCTGTTGAGCCTCCAGTCAGGCGTTACAGTGTAAGGCTCAGTGTCAGCATGTCGTCGAGCTGCATGGTACCAAGGTTGTATTGTACGTCTACTCGTAACTAGACGACTTGACGGTGACTCTCGATACGCACCCAAACTACTCTATTCGTACGACCAGTAATACTTGCTCTACCCGTGCCATGCATCTTCGTCTCATCTTCTTACAGATACAGCCTCGTTTCTTGGCCGGTGCCATCCCAAGCAAGCCTTGGTATCACCTCAGGGCGTCCCTACGTGCAACGTGCATGACCCGCCCACTCAGGAACATATCTCTATAGATAGTGGGAGCGGGACTTTTCATGTGTCAGAACGACGTATATGCCATCGTCAATCCGTACAGATCAATCTGTACCCTGTGCCGTAATACGCAATCGGTACATTCAGGATCCTTCCCCTCTACGTCACGGTTAGCTCTCCCACGCATGAGACTTCCCGCTGTTACCAGAACACAAAGCCCCGAGTCATGGCCGTTCAGATGCGCCTTTGCCGATGTGAAGAACATCCAACCCAAGCTCGACCTCGCTATTGTTGCTAGCATTAACAATACTAACGCTCCGCACCGCACCTTGTTGTACACGATGCGTCTCATCGTCCGTCCTTATGCGAGGTAGACTGTACGGTGAGATGGCGCTGTCAAGGTTCTGCCTTTGGGGCTCCTTGGCCCCTTGATGGCCCTAGGCATATGAGTGTATGCTGCGGTATTGTAGTGCTGGTATTGCCGCTTTTGAAAAGCTTTGCAGTCCAGAAATATTACTGTTGCACCGCTGGCGACATGCCGTCATCGCCCCATCCGACACCACCACCACCACCACATCGCAGTAGCCATAACAGAGCGGCTCTGCTGCAGGACAGGAACGGGGTGCTATCTGCTGATCGTTACAGAAAACCCTCTGGAACGAACATCATCGCTATCCGGTCAGTAATATGATACTCTCTTGATACTCTACAGAGCGTAGGGGACGCGGGTAGGTCTCTGCACCCCGCGGGGCATATACATGCGCCCAAGGAATGGCCGAGGGCTGCAGGGTAAGGGATTCTGTGCAAGGTCGACAGACGGGATCCTTGTTCCAGTGCGATGCAGGTGTCCGTCTTCGCTGTAATTTAGGGGAACGGTGAGCTGCTCCTACAGTAAGCAGTGCCACCAATGACCATCGGCGCCTCCTTTCCCGCTCCGATTAGATGATGTGGGCTCATCAAGCTCATCTCTCCCCCATCACGACCTCCACGACATCAGCACATCTACCCACGCCGGCTGTGCCTGCGCCCATAGTCAACAATATCGGGAGACGCAGCTGGAGATGAGGCACCCTCTTTCCAGCTCTGCGTGCCGCTTCCTCCACGCCATCCGACGACGCTGAAAGGTGCCTCACCTCGCTGACATCGCCCTACTACGCAATGGCCCCGTCCGAGGATCCTAGCAACCTCCGCGTCTTTGTCCACTGGCACGACCAGACCATCTTCGCCGGCGAGGAAGTCAAGTGCACCATCACCTTTAAAAATGTCGCCTCAGATTCGGATCGCAGCCAGAAGCCGCCGCCGTCGTTGGCCCGCCTCGCGTCTTCGGCCCTGAGCCCACGCGCCACCAAGGCTAACCAGCAGCAAGCTCAGCCTCCTTCCTCGACTGCAAACACTAGACGTGGTCACCACAGGTCCGCCCTGTCGGCCAGCCTACCACCGGGATCTCGTGGCCGCTCAGCGTCGATACATTGGCCCGCCGGAGGTGGCCGTTCCGACAGCCGTCCTGGCGGCCACGCCCACAAGCGCTCCGTGTCCATCGTGTCCATCGGCTCGGCCGCCGCGGTCGAGGACCAGACCCTGCGGAACGAGCGTCCCAGTCAATCCTCCTCTTCCCCCAGAAGCGCACCGCAGAGGCCCGGTCGCGGGCATGCTCGCGCCAGCAGTTTACAGATACTGCCGCACCGACAGTCCCCGTCATCCCCCGCAGCCAGGACGCCGGCTGGGCCTCCTTCGGCCTCGTTCCCGCCCAACAGCTTCGACAGGCTACGCAACGGACTCGGCAGTCCGAACCCATCTGCTGCCCTCGATCTATCCCGCAAATCCTCCCGCTCATCTCCCAGGCCGATGCCAGAGTTCCGGTTCCCGGCCGCCTCGCCGACGTCCTCGGAAGCAGCACCACCCGCAAACCCCAGCAAAACGCCCGACCAGGGCCTCCTGAGTCCCACGGGCGCGGCAGATCAGAACGGCGGCGGCCTCCCGACGCGCAATTCGAGAACCCAGGGATCTCCCAAGGCGGAGAAGCCCCAGCCCGCGGCTAGGATACTGGCCAGCAACACCATGACCGAGGCCACGCCCCGTAGCAGTGGTGAGTTCTACGCCGTGAGCAACCACTCGTCGGAAACGTTGGCATCCGAGTACATCAGCCACCCGCACTCTTCAAAGCCGTTGTCGCATCTGCGGCGGCAGTCGAGCCTTGCCCCGCAGAAGCCACACTCCCCCGAGATGCTCATGATGGGGTACGTCCAGATCCAGGGCTCCTTCACCCTGGACGGGTCGCTTGTCGACCTGACGCCCTTTGAGCTGGTCAAGAAGAAGGCCGTCGTGGGCGGGCGCGGCGGCGGGGTCGTCGGGCTCGAACCCAGCCGGCAGCGTGAGAGTGGCCTGTTCAGAGGCCTGGGCTGGAGCAACATCAGCAACTCGCTGGGCGACCTGCTTGGCGGTAACGAGCTCAGCACAATCAGGGAGATGCGCGGGGTGGCCAACTCCAAGGCCGTCCCCTTGCTCAGCACGTCGCAGTCGATCCTCTTTGTCGACCTGCGCTTGGCTCCCGGGGAGAGCCGCTCGTTCGAGTACACGACCAGGCTGCCGAGGGGACTGCCGCCGAGTCACAAGGGTAAGGCCATGAAGATCTCGTACAGCCTCGTCATCGGGACGCAAAAGGCCGGGGGCCCCAAGGAGCAGCAGGTGCGGTCTGTCGAGGCCCCCTTCCGCGTCCTAGGCGGCGTCAACAGCTCGGGCGAGATCCTCGGCCACGACCTGATGCAACCTTACATCCTCCTCCGGGACGAGGCCAAGATCAAGACTCTCGGCGGCGTCAACGGCGGTAGCGGCGGCAGCAACAGCCTGGGCGTCCCCAGACCACCGTTCACACACAAGAGCAAGGCTCTGTCCAGGGCGCCGGCGACGATGAACGACTTCCTCACATACGTGGACGAGCTAGTGACTGGGCCCCGGGACGAGAACAGTGGGCAGCTCCTGTCCCCCTCCGGACCTGGCAGCCTGTCGCGGCGCGGGTCCGGTTTCGGCCCGGAGGACGGTGTGGGCGGGACGACGTCGAGCAGTGACGCCATCCACTTCGCCATCATGCGGAGCAACATGACTGGCGAAGGCCAGCAGAGCCCCAACCGATTCGAGATCTCGCGCAACGGGCAGCGCGTGGGCGTCGTCATGCTCACGCGCCCTTCGTACCGCCTGGGCGAGACGATCACCATGGCCATTGACCTTACGGGGGCGGACATGGCCTGCTACGCCGTGCACACCACGCTCGAGACGTGCGAGCGCGTGGACCCCTCGCTGGCCGTCCGGTCAGAGTCGAGCATCCAGCGTGTCACGCGCAAAGTATACGTCACGTCGTCGGACACCACACTGTACTCGCGCCGCGTGGTCTTCACGCCTACGATCCCTATATCTGCCACGCCAGAGTTTGTCACGAGCGGGATAAGTCTAGAGTGGAAGATTCGGGTTGAGTTTGTCATTGCGGCGCTCACACCCCAACAGCAGCAGCAGCAGCAGCAGCAGCAGCAGCGGCGGCGGCGGCGGCAGCAGCAACGGCAGCGGGGCGAGGAAGAAGAAGAAGAAGAAGAAGACGACGACGACGACGACGATGATTATATAAATGGTGTAGATGGTGGGCGGGGTCAGCCCGCCTCACATCCTCTCCTGGAGCAGATCTCCCAGGACGAGAGGGGTGGACTGGTGCTCGCTGCGGCGGAGAACCTGGCGTGCGAGAGCTTTGATGTCATGGTCCCGCTGAGGGTCTATGGTGCTGTGGGATCCGGGTTGGAGAGACTAGAGCGGGATGAGGCGTCGGAGGAGGGGCTGGTGGTGTAATGAGAAGCGTACATGTATATACAGCAGCAGTAGATTGCGTTGGAACCACGAGTATTGTTGGTATCATAGGAGGTAGACCAATACGAGCAGCAGTTGAAATGAAAGAGCTCATGCACATAGGACGGCTAAAGCGTCACGTGCGAGCAGGTATCGTGAGCATCAACGGGCATGCACGATATCATGTTCTACGAGTACGATCGTCTACATGAATCATAGCTTCTGCCTAAGCCTTGCACCAGAACGTATCCCTCTGCTCCCAGACCGAGATAAGCAGCACAGGCGCGTTGAACAGAAGACTGACAGGCTGATGGTGCGGCCACCGTCCATAGGACCGCCAGGGGGGGGGAGGACTGTTCGTTGCCACCACGCCGCCGGTGCGGGGCTCTCGGGAGGACAGGCTCCTGCGTTTCCGGGTGTGGTTCTAGTGGATATCGTCTTGTCCCGCTTCGTATGTGTATGTATGTGTGTCTCTGGATCTTTTGTCTGCGTGTGATCATCTCTCTCTCTCTCTCTCTCTCTCTTCCCCTTCTTCTCTTCTTTTTCTCTTTTGTGTCCGTCGTGTATGCGGATGTGTTTCAAGGCGATGCCGTTGGCGACGCTCGAGGATTCCGATGCGGTGAGAAGAGGCTCGGGGATATCATATATTCAGCGATTTCATCTTCTCTGGTTCCGGCTGCCCCCTTTCCTCTATGAGTATTCCCTTCACCATTCTCTGCTACCAAGGGGAAACTCTTGTGATATACACATATATATATGTGTGCGTGTGCGTGTGTGCGTGTGTGCGTGTGTGCGTGTGTGCGTAAATGCACGGCCGTCCAGTCGATTACGTTCAAGCCTGCCCTCGCTTACTCCGTATCGGGACTCCCCACCACGCCCCGGTGGTCGAATCCTCTACTGGGGTGGTGGCCATCCCTAAGCGGCAAAGCCTCCACTTGTATCACTGTTCGGCACCTGCATGGACAGGTATGGATATATATCATGTATTACCTAGAGGTTAGCAGGCGGGGTTCTGGTAAATGGTGTGGATGCGCCGTATGATTTCGCAATAGGGGACACAGAAGCAGATATGTTGCGATAACTTGACGGGCCAGACGGAGGATTGCCAGTAGCTCTATACTCACACATACATACGAATACTACTCTTCATACATGACTGCCGCTCAGCTGCCGTGGCACCACTCTGCATTGATGGGTTGCCATGCTAGACATCTCCGTACCCGTACATGTACGGCGGAGAAAGTACGGAATAATATGCGGTTTTGATTCCGTTTGAACGCGCCGCAGCGAAGCAATCAGACGAAATGCCACCACAGCCTACAGGTATTAGCAGCACGGATCTGAGCGTGATATGGTTGATATTAATCATGACACGACAGTGCTGCGACCAGGGGTAGCGGACGAACCCAGTTGACATATAAACGAGAGGGGGGGGGGGGTTGGGGTTGAGGGTTGAAGCGCAAGCTCATTTACGGACCGGGGGGGCCCAACGACCCAAACAAAGCTCATGAGTGACGCTACTCCGTAAAGAGACTGAATTGGATATTATTATTGTATGGACAGGGCCAAAAAAGAACCAGTGCAGCTGGATAGGGGCCAGCACCCCAGACAGGGATAGACAATAACTAGTATTACAATGTACAGAGCACATGTACTTGTACATGTGGAGTCAGTCAGACTGCCTTTCTTTCTTCTTTTTTTTTCCCTTTGAGTTTCTCTTCTCCCTCTCCTCATCGTGCCGTGTCTTACTCACTTGAGTCGTTTTACTCACTCGAGTCGGAGTGTTTGGAATGTCGGTCGAGAGAGTTGAGACTAGGCATAACGGAGTCTGTCGATGGAGGAGCGGAGGTCACGTGAGAGAACCTGTTAGAGGGGTACGGTACGTTACGTAGCGTGTGCATGCATGATACGAGGTAATACGGAGTACTATAGCCTTGTAGGTTGGTGATGGCATGAGAGTGGCTGCTTCTCCCGTCCCCGGTTGCCCCATGGGCCACGGCCCATCACACTGGACGCGGCTGCTGCAGGTGCGCATGTGATGTTTTACGTTCTAGGCCTGGGACCTCTGTCAGGCTACGGAGTGATCTGTACAGGCTGCGTACTTGCAGCGTAGCAGCTTCCATCCGATCGTGTACGTCCATGATTGCCATGGTAAACACGCTCGTGGGATATCCCCCCATGTCAAGGTATCTATTTCATGATACTCGTGCCGAAAGCAAGGGTACATACGATACATACGGTATATAATAGTCACCGTCTGATAATACCGTACGAGTACAGCTATGTAGCATGTACAGATTACAGGTATGACCGTCGGTATCGATACAGACGGACAGTAAGACCCCTGAGCTGCCACCTGCGTTAGCGGCCAATGGCTGCCAGATCCCCTGCAACAGCCCTGCTATTGGCAGTTGCCCTGCAACGCCCCTATCGTTGGCCAATCACACACAGCCTTCCTTCGCCCGCTGCTGCCTCAGGACAACCGCCCACTCTCCATTGCCTCTTGGTACCTGAAGTCGTCACCGCTGACACGCAAAAACAAAGTCTCTTTTTTCTTCTTATTTTCTTGCTGCAGAGCTACGAGTATTACTCCGTACACACACGACTGCAGATACTCCGTTATACCTGTACGAGTAGTAGTAGTATCAGTACTCGCTCGTACTCGTATTATTTCCCCTGCTACCTACCACGAGGAGCAGTACTCCGTACTATCCTCTTTTTTTCTCGTTCATCCATCATACTCGTCACACCCCGGCTCGTCGGTTCCTCCATCTCTCCTCCTCTTAGAGCCTAAAGGCTCACTTGGTGGTGTGCGTGCCTTGCTTCCCTCTACCTGCTTGCTCCTCCTCCTCCCTCTTCCTCATACGCATCCATCTGTCTTTCACTACGTTCCAACCCCACGCTCCTTGTTGACCGCTCGCCGGTGCCATCCCACACTTTTCTTCTTCCTTCTCATCATCTAGTCACTGTGAGTATTGACCCTCTTCCTCGAAAGAAACCGTGACTCTCCCCCCTCCCCCGATTCCAACCTTCTCTAACCTGCCTTCTCAGCGTTTGAAGAAGAAAGAAGACATAGCCTATCTCGGCCCACCTGACACCCGACAACATCCCATCCAACAAGGGAGGCACCGCGAAGATACACTGGCGGCAACGACGATACACCACATACGAAACGATTCACTGACCTCTCCTTCGCCCTTGTACCCATGGTACCCGTCATCCCTCGTCCTGCACCGTCGACTCGTCTGGGCGGTTCAATGGCACCAGCATGGCGGCGACTCCCTCTAACAATCGTCTGAAGCTCACGCCCTCCAACTCTCCCTTCTTCGCGCGAGCACCGAAGTCTCCCCTACGAGGCCGACCTGCCCAGGAATCACGTCTGTCCCTGAAGAGGGTCGTGGGCACCACATGCTCCTCCCCATGCGGCCTTGACACGGTCAAAAACTCCTTTGCCTATATTGCAGGCGGTGCCGTCGTCGTCGTCCACGTCGATGGCCAGCAGTACTCGCAACGGTTCTACCGTGCTCGTCCCACGGCCCAGGCTCTCTATCCGGCTTCCACAAATCTGAACGCTCCCTCGACGCCCTCCACACCAAAGGCCAACGATAGCCGAGGCCGTGTCGCCCCTCGGGAATCGCCGTACAGCGGCGGCGGAGGTCCCGAATGGGCCGAGTCGCCCGGCTCCAGGACGTGGACCAGCCGAGAGCGTATCAAGGCTGCCACCTGTCTATCGCTAAGCTGCGATGGCAAGTACCTGGCCGTAGGCGAGACCGGGTACGCACCCCGCGTCCTCATCTTCACCTTGCAGGATTCCTCATCCGACACGCCCCTCGTCTCCATCAGCGAGCACACCTTCGGCGTCAGGGCTGTCGCCTGGTCTCCCGACTCGAGATACCTCGCCTCCCTCGGTGCCGCAAATGACGGCTTCCTCTACGTCTGGAAAATCGACCCCCGCACCGGAGCTGCCAAGCTCTTCCAGCAGAACCGCTGCACGTCCTTTGTCAAGGACATGGTGTGGCAGGGCAACGTGCTCATAACCCTCGGCGTACGCCACGTCAAGGCCTGGAAGATTGACGAAACCCCGTCCATCTCGCCCACCAAGCCGAAGTTCCCCAGTGAGCCCTCAGCCCCTGCGCCGACCGCCCAAAAGACGTTGCCTGGCCGCAACGTCGTGCTCGGCGCCCTTCTCGAGGCCACATTCACCTGCGCTGCCGTATGCAAGCAGGGCTCCATCCTCTGCACCGAGACGGGCGATGTCTGTATATTCGATGACGATGACAGCCACTTGAAGCTGCGCAAGGTGCTCAACCTGGGCTTCCCCATCACCTCCATCGGCATCCAGGACAAGGTGGTCTATGTGAGCGGCAAGGACGGCCACTATGCCAGGCTGGATCTGGCAGGCGTCATGGATGCCGTGGATACCAGCGTCCTGAGCACCACCCAGACTTGCCAGCGCACCGTTGCCATGGGCTTTCTGGGCCAGAGGCTCGTCACCATCGATGCCAACCACTCGATCGATATCTGGAGTGCAGACCACATGCCGGGAAACCAGGCAGAGGCCGGCGCCCACATCACGTTGCCCGGCCACGGCGAGGCTATCGTTGGAATACAGCCTCTTTGCAAGCCGAACCCCATGGATGCCGCGTTCCTCACCTGGTCGGGCTCGGGCATCGTGGCCTTCTGGGACCTCGAAGGCCGGGTTCGATCGCTTGTGCACATCCCTGTGGACACGTCGGACCAGGAGGTCGAACTGGGCCTCGTGAACCAGCTGACGTGCGCCCGTGTGTCGAGGAACGGCAAGATGCTGGTCACGTCTGACCGCCAGGGTATCCTCAAGGTGACCGACATGGTGACGAGCGACTGCCTGCTGGACATCAAGGCCCACTCTGCCGACTGCCTCTGCATCAGCCTGTACGAGGACGACGAGTCGTTCCTCATGGCCAGCTGCGGGCGCGACCGCACCGCGCAGCTCTTCCATCGCGGCACAGACGGCACCATCGAGCACTTCCAGACCATCGACTTCAACTCCAAGGTGGTCCAGGTCTTGGTCCCGTCCGGTGACAAGGTCATCACCTGCTCCATGGATAGGACCATGCAAGTGCACGATGTTCTCAAGAGGGAGGACGATCCTGATGCCGTCGCCGCGATCCCCTCCAAGGTCATCACCTTGAAAGCGTCTCCCACCTCCGTGGTTATGGGCCCCGATAACCAGACGGCCTTTGTCTCCTTTCTGGATCGTTCCATCTGCCAGTTCGATCTGAGCACCGGCCGACAACTCTGCACATTCAAGTGCATGGACGAGAGCTGTACCGAGTCCGCCGTTCTCGAGTCATTATCTCTAGGCCAGTGGCCGCCTAGGGAGATGAACTTCCTGCTCGGGTGTTCCAACACAGACAAGTCTGTCAGGCTCTACGACGCCGGGTCCGGCTCGTTTCTCGATCGAGAATGGGGCCACACCGAGGCAGTCAACGGCGTCTGCCTCATCGACGACGGTGACGGAAACAAGAAGGCCGTGAGCGTCGGGTCGGACGCCACAATAATGATCTGGACGCTGGACCTGACGGAGCAGCCGCCGCGGACGGTGAGCAGGGACCCGTCGCCCGCCAAGGACCTCTCGACCGGCCGTCCAACCCTCAGGAGGGTCCTTTCCAAGGCTGAGTTGGCCGAGTTCCAACGCTCCTCGCCGTCGGGCGGCCGTCTGCAGGCTTCGCCACCGAGGACGGTGCGACGGCGGACCTCGCGACTGAACCTGACGACCAGCTCGTCCAAGGCGGCCTCGGTAGCTCTACAGAACAACAGCAGCCCCCGAGCCGGTGACGACACACCGTCACGGCGCCCTCCAGGCGAGCCTCGCCAGTACAGCCCTCCACCGAGTCCCAAGTCGCGGATATCGCGGCAACCCTCCCTGCCGACCATCGGCGTATCGTCTCGCAAGAAATCACCGACAAACCTGACGAGCGGGAAAGGGACAGGCAGCGGAGGCAGCGGCTTCGGTGCCCGCTCCCTCAACAAGTCGACGGAGCAGACGTGCCGCACGCTGCGGGCATACCGCAAGAAGCTCAACTCTACAGAGCCCCTCAGTCCAGAGGTCCTCACCGAGCTGGACCGGGAGCTCCGGCTCACGGCGGCCGCCCTGGGTGACAGGGCCATCCGGAGCAAAGCCATGAATGAGACGGTTCTCAGCGGACTGCTGGACCAGTACTCGGAAAGGCTGGTCACGCTGCTGGACCAGAGGTTGAAACTCAACTATCACCAACCTCACGAGAATGGGGAGAGCAGCAGCAGCTCCCCGGACTCGCAGACTATCCGAAATATCGACGACGATTCGGGCTCTTCATCGCCCTGACATTGCACCTATCTTCCTTTGCTTTCATCTTTTTTTTTTTTTTTTGCTCGTCGCTACGCATAAAGCCATCTTCCGATCATTTACATCTCTTCTTTTTGTCATCCTGTACACTGTTCTTTCTTTCACCGCAGGCGTTTTCATGGTACGGGAATGGTACGGGTATCTGCTTTGAATTCTTTCTCATTCACCTGTTCGGGTCGGGCTCGGTTTGGCACCAGGATCTCGGGGGCAAAGGGGGAAAACAATCTGTTCTGGGAGAAAACAAAAAAGGGAAAGGGGAGCGATTGCTTACTGTCGGCCACGGCGGCGGCAGGAATGATACCAACTATCACTTATAGTAGGATTGGAGTTATGGGGGTTGACAAGTTGGAAAGAAGCCCAGCTAACATCCTGGGGGTTCATCATCAACAGAAGGGGGGCATCTTTAATACGTTACAATTCGCTCACACTTCTGTGGCACTCTCCCCCGTGAGCACATCATGACATGGTGATGACCATTTCAGTCGAGGAGGAGGTCCTTCAGCGCTTTAGTCGCTCAGCCCCGATACAAGGGACCATCCACTCCCTTGGTCACGCGGCCTCCCGCCGAAGAGAGTAGGTTGCACCGTCGACTCTGTGCCTGCGTACGCGCGTGTCAGAAAGTCCACTGCCCTGCTTGGGTCCGTCTGGATGTGTTGTGAAGAAGGGAATAGATTTGCAGAGGTTTCGTACTGAGGACTCTCAAGGAATGCCAGCATGTACGCGATGGGTTTTCTGAAAGTTTATTACACAGCCACAGACCGCCACCTATGTGGCGACCGTAGGAAAAGGTCATCTTCTATTCAAGGCCACTGTGAACCAAGACTCCATCTCTGAGGAGGCCTGTCGACACATACATCAGATACGAGGCGGAGACGCTGGCAGGCCTCGAGAAGCACGACGAGAACAAGGGACGTTGTCAAGAACTACTCATCAACCTCTAATGCTGACGGCACCTCTTTTTTTTTTTTTTTTTTTTCCCCCCCCCCCCCCCCACCATCCTTCTCCTTCTGACAAGTTCGACCAAGTTTGAGCTTGAACTAGATGGCCTGGTGATGTTTGGCATCACCTCTCTTTTTTTCTTAAACCCTTTTTTTTTTTTTTTTTAATTTTTAATCGTTATTATTGTTTTTATTTTTGACCGGTAGCGTGGTATTCTCGACTGACGCGACGAACTAGACCGTGGCGCCGATTCACCTCCTCCCGACTCTTGGAGGGCACCCCGATTGCCGGTGGGGTGTTGGAACCAACAACAACAGCACCACACACAAGGGCATGAATCAACCGGCCACCTACACGCACCTCGAGTCGCTGGAACTATATCGGGCGGTGGCCATAGAAGGCGTCGGTCCCGGCGCGTGGGAGCGCGTGTCCAAGAGACTTACCAACAATGTCTGGATCAAGGGCGACGAGACGTTTGACGAGGCGCGGCTGAAGCCCGGCCTGCTGGAGTCACGCTTCCTGCGTATCTTTTACCAAGAAGTATACGGAGGAACCGAGCAGCAGCACCAAGATGGCTCGTCGTCCGGTGGTCCGTCCAATAAGAAGAGAAAGGTCGATGACGGCACGTCTATGCCCATCGCCACATATGCCAACGTCCTCGAGCACTTCTCACAGGTGCCTGTCGTCTATCAACGCCTGTGGGAGCGCTACAAGGCCCACAAGATCAAGCAGATTCGCGAAGACGAGCAGTCGTACGACCAGATCCAGCGCGATCTCCGCATCATAGAGAAGAGCGAGGCCGAGAGGTTGAGAGCTCTGGCGGCGGCTAACCAGTCCGCCGCCGCAGCTGCTCAGCACCAGGTTCAGCAGGGCCAGGGACAAGCACACGCACACGGACAGCCGACGCTGGCTCCCAAGGAGGTCAGGCCCGCACCGTCTCCGAGCCCGGCTTCGCCAGCGACTCCCGCTGGTATTAAGCGACCGACACCTGTTGCTCCTCCGAGACCCCAAGCTCCCAACCTCGCACCGTCCGGCACTCCGCCGACGACGGCCGCTCGACCCCCCATCACCGCCCCCCCTACTCCCGGTTCCGTTCTGCAGGCGCCTACCGGCGTTATCGGCCAGCAACCGCAACAGCAGCAGCCACACCAGCTCCAGCAACAACAAGCCTCTCGCGTCCCTCAGGCTCCTTCTCCCGCGCCAAAGGTCCCCATCTCTCCGCGGCCCGACGTTGCAGACAAGCCCAAAGATGGAAACGCTGCTGCACCGCGGTCGACGACGCCGTCGCAGGGTACCCTCAAGTGGGAGAAGCCTTACCAGCCTCCTGGACCGACTCAACCCCCTCCCGGACGACAGACACATTCGCCTGCACCTCTTCCAAGGGCCGCCACGCCACAGCAATATGCCCAGAATCAACAGCAATGGCAGCAGCAGCAGCAGCAGCAGCAGCAACAGCACCACCAGCAGCAACAGAACCTCCAGCAGCAGCAGCACCTCCAGCAACAGAAGCACCACCAGCAACAGAAGCACCACCAGCAAACGCAGCAGCAAGCGCAGCAGCAAGCACAGACCCATGCTCAGGGACAGGCCACAGCCCCTCCGCCGCAGCAGGCCAAACCCACCCATTCCCAAGCACAGGTGAAGCCGCCGGTCCTGCTACCGCCTCAAAATACCGGGCACACGGTGCCCCGACTTCAACCAGGTCCCCCGCGACTAACCGGCATTGTCCCATCACCTTCACCACAGCCCCAACAACAACAACCTCAACAACCGCCAACACGACCACAGTCAAACACTCCTGTACCGCCCCCACACCGTCCTATCCAGCCGCAGCAACCGCAGCAACAGCAGCAGGCGACCCTGCAACAACCACGACCTATCGCCTCAGCACCACCAACCACGCCAGGTGGTGCCGCTGCCCCTCCTCAGCGATGGCCGATGGGACACATGGCCCAGGCCCAGGCCCAGCGGGGCTCGCAGTCCGTCTCGCCAGCACCGCAGAAAGACAAGCCGAATGCTTCGCCCTACGGGTCCCAACCACCTCGTCCAGCTATCCCCGAACACATGATTCGGCACGCGGCCACGCCTAACAGACGACAGAGCGCGTCGGCAGCGCCGCAGCCGCAGCCACAGCCGCAGCCGCAGCCGCAGCCGCAGCCGACACCAACGACGCCCGTGCAGACCACCCCGACACCGACGACGTTGGTGCGTGGCTTCGGGACTAAATGGGCTCCGCAGTCTACGCCATCAACGCCCGGTCCGCTCAACGACGAGCCCGCGAGCCCGGCCTACGAACCCGTCAGCCCGCCACAACGCCCGGCCACCGTCTCACGGTCAGTCACGACCCCGACGCTCAAGCAGTCCACGCCCAGCCATCCTCGCAGCCTGCCCGCAATAAGAAAGAAGCGGGAACGGATTAAGAAGCTGCGGGATGCGACGGGGACACCGTCCGGCGAAGGTCGGCGGCGCAGCGAGTCGGTCGCCTCTGGAGCCGACGAGCTGGCCCTGGACCATCCGGACACGATTGCTAAAGTCAAGGATGAGGACGCGACGCCGCGGCCGCACGACGAAGCGGGTGATACGACAGCGGACGAAAGCGGCGGTGGCCCTGGACGAGGCGCGGCAACAACCCCTGGCAGCAGCATCTCTAGAATTCTCAAGCGCAAGAGGCAGGAGACGCCGCCCTCACCGCCGGGCCCGCCCTCAGAGGTTCTCTGGACGCGCGGCTTCACCAAGGTATCCTCGTCGGCGCTGGACCAGATCTCGTCGCACCGCGACGGCAACATGTTTGCCACGGCGGTGCGCGAGAAGGACGCCCCAAACTACAGGCAGGTGGTGCTGCAGCCGCAGGACATAACATCGATCCGGTCTGCCATCAAGCAGGGGAACAAGGCAGCAGTGCAGGCAGCAGCCTCTTTGCCAGGCGGCGACCCCGGAACGGCCAGCGTGTGGCTCCCCATCTCCGGCGACCTCCTCCCTCCCCGGGGCATCATCAACAGCGCCCAGCTGGAGCGCGAGCTGGTGCACATGTTCTGCAACGCAATCATGTACAACCCGGATCCCGACCGCGGACCCGGCCCAGGCTTCATGAAGCGCTCCCAGGAAGAGGAGGAGGAGGTTTTCGGGTACCGCCTCGATGAGAACGGCGTCGTGCGCAACACCCAGAGCATGTTTGTCGAGGTGGAGAAGCTGCTCGGCGACCTGCGCAGTGCGGAGAGGGAGCGTACGGGCCCTCCACCGCCCGCGCCGTCCAGCGTCACACCCAGACCGGGGAGCAGCGTCGTGGCCACACCTGCGGACGACACCGCAGAGGAAGAAGACGAGTTGGCTGCCGACGGGGTAGATAACAGCATCAGTAACGGTGGTTCGGCGGTAGCGTCACTGTCGGCGGCGACCGTCAAAAGAAGGCGTACAGCCATGAGAACTTAGAGACAGTCTCTGACTGAACTGCGACGAGGGGCGTGATGGTATTTTTGTATGGTCTTCTCTTTTTCTGGGGGGGGAGGGGGAGGGGGCGTTGAAGGATCAGTGATTCTCCTTGTTTGTTTTACAAGCAGAAGAGCAACCGAGGAATCGATGGAGTTTGTTTTACTGTTTTGCTGCTAGGACTACTACTATTATAAACCATACTTGCTATCGTTCTCTACACTTTTACTCAATTTGCTGTCCCATGTGATGGTATACTTTTATTTTATCTTTTATTTTTTGATTATTTGATACATATATATACGGGCAAGCTTGAAGAAAGAAGAGTAGGAAAAAAAACGCCCAGCTATGCCGTTTTATATTTTCTTGGATTCCTCATCATTTCCATTGCACTTCTTTGGAAGGCTATTCCTTTGTGGAGGCAAGATTGGATGTCTGGCCCAACGACGATGTGGAGTGGTTATTGCTGCTGCTCTTCTTGGAGCCTCTAGCCTCGTCACCGGGGGGCACCTTCCTGGGCCAGTCGGGACACACGTCTATGGTGTCGCGGGGGAAGAGAAGCTCGAGCAGGAGGAAGAAGATGTAGTCGACGACGACGCAGAGGCAGAAGAGCTTTCCTGCCCAGATGCCGCAGCCGTAGTAGCGCTTGAGGCGGTCGACGAGGGCGAAGTCGCGGACACGGCTGCCGTTGTAGCCACCCGTGTCGAAGCCGTAGAAGTCGGCCTCGGAGATGGTGCCGGTGATGCCGTCGTAGACGCGCTCGGTGCGCATGGCGACGTTGGCCCACGAGTACATCTTGCGGACCTGGTCGTGGAAGCGCTCGGTGCGGACGCGGCCGGCGCGCATGGCGGTTATGGCCTTGCCGGCGGCGGCGACGAGGTCGTCCTCCTCCGGCTTGGCAAACGTGGTCATGTGCGAGGGGAGGACCTCGGGGATGCCGCCGACCTGGGTGGCCACCACGTACAGGCCGCACGAGGCCGCCTCGACGATGACGGTGCCAAAGGCCTCGGTCAACGACGGGTGCAGGTAGATGTGCCCGCGGGTCATGACGTCGCGCACCTCCTCATGCCGGATGGGGCCGAGCATCTCCACGCGGTCCTGGAGGACGTTGGTCTCGATCATCTGCTCCAGGTCGATGGCCGTCGGGCCCGACCCCGCGATGATGAAGCGCGTGTACGGGTGCTCCTCCAGGATCCGGGGGATGGCCGCCGTGAGCAAGTCGGTGCCCTTGTTGTAGAAGAGCCGCGAGATGACGACTATGGTGATCATGTCGCGCGGTCCTAGGCGCACGGGCGACCGGTCTGGTGCGAAGCTGCCGGTTGCCTGCTGCTCGGATGTTGACGTGGTGGTGGTGGGTGGGGGATAGTCTCTTGGCCTGAACGAGTCGGCCACGATGGCATTTGGTATGACGGATACCATGAGAGGGTCTAGGGATGCTCGTAGCACCGTGTTTTCCTTGCTGAGGGAATGTCAGTAAATCAAGAGGGATGGATGCCGATTGGGGGGGGCGGGTTGAGACGGGACGAGACTCACCACGTATGACTGACGCAGATGCTGTGGTCTACGTCACTGAGACTGAACTTGAGCAGCTTGTTTGTGAGGATGCTGGCGGCGTCGGCGAAGCCGAAGAGGGAGTGATCGGTGAAGACGGTGCGCAGGCCCATGGTGCGGGCGTGCAGGATGCCCTCGTGGCACAGGCTGCTCAGGCTGCCGTGGCCGTGGACGATCTCGATGCGCTCGCGGATGCAGATGTTGCGGAAGATGGGGAAGAAGGAGAAGACGGTCGGGAAGGTGGTCTGTCGGTAGATGACGAGGAAGGGAACGTGGTAGACCTTGAGACCGTTGGTCAGGTAGCGCACCCCCTTGCGGTCGTCGTGCGCGTGCGTGATGATGATGACCTTGTGCCCGCGGTCGATGAGCTTGCTCGAGAGCTGGTAGATATGAGACTCTACTCCTCCCGGTTGCGGGAAGAAGAAGTCGCTCACCATGGCGATGTTGTACGTCTTGCGTGCCATGGTGATGGTTTGTGAGTCCCGCAAGACAACACGTCGTCGTCGTCGGCACCAACTCGTATGTCTATGCTATGATTCGATGATCGCTTTCGGGGAATAGCGCATGGTCTGCGTTTCTTTCTTTTCGGGGGGAGAATTGAAGGTGTCTCTCCCTGTCCGAGAGCATTTAGCTGCTCATGATCGATGTGTGATGCTGCTTCTGCTGCTGCTGCTGCTGCAGGGGGTGATGGATGGCGATATGTGTGGAGGTGGGGGGGGGGGGGGTGGAGGTTATATCCAGTACCCAGGTGTATGTATGTAATATTATTATTAGTATGAGTCCATCGTCAAATAGCCCGCCGAGTGATGCGACGTCACGCTGTGCGCCCCGAGCATCTCCATACTCCCCGGCGAGTCTCCCCTGTATTATTGTATGTATTACTGTATTAATCAATATCTCAGGTCCCGCGTAGCTGCTGGACTGGCACCTACCTAAGCTCTGTAATGGTACAGATCAATCTGTATATCCTGTCCAGCTCTTTTTTAGTGCTTCCAGCAGGCGCCTTCCAGCGGTTCCTAGGCGGGTTATAAATTTTGGCGGTGACGAGCGGCAGAATCTGATGGGAGGTACATGATGGTGGGCGGCGGGATTCTTTGATACATTGGGGGTGGTCGTATCTAATAGTGGTGAAAATCTTTTGATCAACCCTCTTGAAGTACTCTTCTTGATGGTATATATCCTCCTGTATGTGCCATCCTTCTATGAGACAGAGCTTGGATGTTCTGGGGACTATCCGACTTACAAAGTGGTCCCGCAGTGGTACTTCCTACGTCCCAAAAAAAAAAATTAAGAAATAGGAAGCAAATATCTTCAGCATCAATTCTCTCCTCTCTATACCCTACTCCTCCACATCACCAAGCGAAGAGCCTCGTTCTTTTCAGTTACGTCTGGAGGCTACTAGGATCTAATTGACCTAGAAAAAGGCGTCGGGTGCCTCTACTTTCACGGCCGCCACGTCAGACTCGGACTCCCAGGCCGCGGTGGGAGGCGAACACACGCGATACCTTCCCGGAGACAAGATGGCCGGCAGCGGTGACGAGTCCAGCGCTGCTAGGTCTAAGCGGAAGCGCGAGGACAATGACGGCGACGATTTGCCTAAGTCACGGAAGCGCGAGAGCAAAAAGGCTACGAAGCACGCCAGGGAAGAAGACCATGACAAGGTCGAAGACGAGTCGAAGGAGGTGAAGAAGAGCAATAAGAAGGACGGGAAGAAGAAGAAGGATAAGAGACGGCCGGGAAACGATGACGATGACACAACGGCAGAGAAAGAGGAGGTTTCTTCGTCCAAGAAGGAGCGGAAAAAGATGAGCAGGAAGATGAGCAAGAAACGCACACAGGCATCCGACACATCGGAGGACGACCAAGAAGGAGAGGCATCTGACAGGGATGTGCCAATGGCGGATGCTCCCTCTGACATCGTTCAGGAAGAAGAAGTCGACAGCCAGCCGATGGTGGAGGACGAGAAGGAAAAGAGGAAGGAAAAAAAGAAGGAGAAGAAGAAGAAGAAGAAGAAGAAGAAGAAGGAGTCGACGGACGAGGAAGAAGAAGAAGAGGAGACTGGAGAGGTGGATAAGCGACACAAGTCGGTGCTGGATCGAAAGACCAAGTCGCTCAGGCTAGCCGGCGAGGCTGCCCCGGCCAAGGCCGATGAGGCCGAGGACGCCGAACCAGAAGAGCCCACGGAGGTCCACGACCTAGGCCCGCTGCCACAGCCCGAGCTGGTGTCTGAGGAGACGCCCAAGCCCACATACGAGACGCTCCCGGCGTGGCTGGCGGCGCCCATCCGCGTCTCGCAGGACACGCGCACGCCCTTCTCGGAGCTGGGACTCCTCCCCCGGGCGGCCAGGGCGCTCGAGGAAAAAGGCTTCCCGGACGCCTTCGCCGTGCAGACGGCCGCCATCCCGCTCCTTCTGCCTACCAGCAAGCGACCGGCCGGAGACCTGCTCATATCGGCGGCGACTGGATCGGGAAAGACGCTTGCGTACGCGCTCCCCATCGTGCGCGACCTGAGCCACGGGCTCGTGACGCGGCTCCGGGCCCTGGTTGTTCTCCCCACGCGAGAGCTGGTCAAGCAGGCGCAGGACGTCTTCGACATGTGCGCTCGGGCGTACGAGGGCGGCGACAGGAAGAGGGTGCGCGTGGGCATCTCCATCGGTAGCCAGACGCTCAGGTCGGAGCAGGAGACCCTCGTGGACCGGCAGGCGCGGTACGATCCGGAGGCCTACGAAGACGTGCTGAGACGGAGGCGCGCGCGGGGGGGTCTCCTCGACGACAGCGTCCCCGGCGGGCTCGGCGGGCTCGGCGCCGACGGCTCCGATCCCAGACTGGGCGAGTGGCCTGGCCAGGTCGTCGACTTCTCGTCCAGGGTCGACGTCCTCATCTGCACGCCCGGCCGTCTGGTGGAGCACATGGAGCAGACGCCCGGCTTCGACCTCGACTACGTGCGCTGGCTCGTCGTCGACGAGGCCGACAAGCTGCTCGCCCAGAGCTTCCAGGGATGGCTGGAGATGGCCATGGACAGGTTCAGGGCAGGCGCCGAGGGCAGGACCGTGCGCGGCGCCACCGCTAGGCAGTTCTCCGACATGGACCTCGAAGGCGTGCGCAAGGTCATCCTCAGTGCCACGCTCACCCGCGACCTCAGCCTGCTCAACCAGCTCGCCCTGCGCAGACCTCGGCTCATCGTCCTGGAGGCTTCGACCGGAAGTGAACAGGACCACCAGCAGCAACAGCAGCAGCAGCAGGCCGTGGCTGAGCACTCGCTGCCTGCTCTCCTGACAGAGCACGCTGTTCGTGTGCACAATACCAACCTCAAGCCGCTGTATCTTCTGCGTCTTCTCAAGGACGGCCACATGGAGAGCCCCGATGACAAGGCGGAACCTCCTACCGCCGCCGCCGCCGCCGCCGCCGCTGCTGCTACCAGCAGGGACACCACCAAGCCTACTACAGATGACGATTCCGATACGTCTTCCGACTCGGGCTCGGACTCAGATTCCAGCTCAGGCTCGGACACCAGCTCGGACTCAGGCTCAGACTCCTCCTCGGAAGCCTCCGAGACGCCCGAGGCCGCCGTCCCTTCCAAGCTCCCCATCTGCCTCGTCTTCACCAAGTCCAACGAGTCGGCCCTCCGTCTTTCTCGCCTCCTCACCCTCCTGGACCCGTCGCTGTCGCCATCCATGGCGACGCTCACGTCCACGACGCCCACGCACATACGCCGCAAGACGCTCCAGGCATTCACGAAGCCGACATCGTCGGTGCGGCTCATTGTCGCCTCGGACCTTGTCGCCCGCGGTATCGACCTGCCCAACCTGCCCCACGTCGTCAACTACGACCTCCCGGCCAGCGTGGCGGGTTACGTCCACCGCGTGGGACGTACGGCCCGCGCGAACAGGGCTGGTCAAGCCTGGACGCTCGTGGGCGACGACGAGAGCGGCTGGTTCTGGGGTAAGATTGCAAAGGGGGCGGGTATACGCCGTCCGCAAAAGGTGGGCAGGGTACGTATCGACGAGATGGCAGACGAGGACATCGATGTCTACGAGGCTGCGCTGGAGAAGCTGGGGAAGGAGGCGCTCGAGACGACGAGGGGTGGGAGACGATGAGATTTTTCACATTTCATGTTCACGGTTCAAGAGAAGACAATAAGAGAAGGAGAAGAGAAGATAATATACCCGTCCATCCTCCCTGTACATCCATCATTCTTGTCTCTCCAATTGGTATGACACCACACATCCTAGCTGCTCCTCCAGGCATTCCCCTCGGGAAATGGGAACGATGGCTCGACACGTGGTCTGCCAGATCCCTCCTGGTATCCCTCCTGATCATCTGTAGCGCCGTATCTCTGGCCATGGTCGGTGGGAGTCTCACCATTCTGACCTTGTTCTTCCTCGTCGTCTTCCTCCGCGGCAGCCGTGAGGAGAGGGCGGCGACTGCCAGAATGTCCGCGTCTCTGTCCCGCGGCAAACAGTCTGCTCCAAGGTCCACGTGACGACGTAGTCCACCAATCTCCTGATGGGCCTTGGGACATCACAAACAGACCGAATATCTATCATGGTTCTGTCAGTTTTTATTTTTTTTATCTTTATTTCTCTGCTCAAATAACGGGGCGTCACAGATGTGGGGGAGAGAGAGAGAGAGAGAGAGGGTAAAGAACAACAAACCTGTAGAAGACCCGTGGCCAAAACGACAGCCAGCTCAATCCCGGAAACAGACCTCGTGGCACCCTCCCAACCAGCCCGGCAGGCCACGTCCCTCCCATAAGTCTCGGGGCACGTACTCGGCACGCCGTTCCTCTGGAAGGGGTACGCCCTGTCGCGGACCGAGTTGAAGCCGCAGCACGCCAGGCCGTCCTGGATGCGGCGTATGGCCCCGTCGTCGTGGGCGCGGTAGTAGGCCGACCAGCGGGACTCGACGAGGCACGACGACGCTGCGGTCGACGGGACGGCGTCCTCGAACAGCAGGGTCGCCAGGACCGTAGTGGCCAGGGCTTGCAGGACCTGCATGATCAGGGGCGTCAGGCCGGTCAGCCCGCGGGCTCCCGTTGCTCCTCCTGCTCCTCGCTTGGGTACGGGCGAGGAAGGGGAGCCATGTGTTAGATGAGGGTATATGGATGCGTTGAGGAGGTTGATGAGTGGTAGGATAAAGGCGAGGACTGTCACGGCTGATGGGATGGGGAGGGAGAGGGAGGTGCTCTTGACGTGGAAGATGCTTGGTTGCGTTAGCCTTCTTCTTCTTCTTCTCTGATCTTCTTCTCTGAAGATTCAAAGTATTCTGCCTTGGGGAACTTACACGGCCACTATGAAGAGGAAAATGGTCGTCTGAGAAGGAGGTCAGCGCATGTACACACGTGCTGTATCGTTGGTGCAGAGGAGATCTTACAATCAGATAGGCGATGCTGAGGGTGGGAGACATCTTGACGGCTTTGGAGTGCATACTACAAGTGATCGAAGGTGATGAAATGATGCGGGGTAGCAGCCACGAGCAAGAGTACTCGACAAGGACTTGCGATTATTCATTCCCGTGTCAGTCACAGTGTCCAGTGAGAAGATGCAGTTGACGTATGTAACACGGCTTTTCATTGTTAATTGCATAGGAAAGACACAGTGCGAAATCCTACCCGATGCAAAGAAGGAAGAAGAAACGATATGATCTGACTAGCATAAGAAAAAAAAAGGAAGAGAAACACCTTGACCGCCCCCCCATGCCATTGGTATCATGTGGTATCATTATATAGTATATATAAGGAAGAATAAAGCAGGACAGAATAAAAAAGTCCGTATCCAACGCTGGTTCGTCGTTGCTCTACAAGAGAGTAGAAAGAGAAGAGTGTGTATGTGGCCACGCGTTGAAATTTTTTTTTTTTTTTAAAAAAAAAAAAAAACTTTTGAAAAAAAATGACACGACTCTAACCAAGTTCCCAAGACTCACCCCAGATCTCGTTTAGATTGAGACCGAGCAGTTCGAGGCTAGGATCGAGGTTGAAAGGCTGAGTCTGGTCATTTGGTAGCATCCAGGGGACTGTGGACGGGTCGAGCGACGAAGTACCGATGCCTGGTGTGAATGAGAGCGGTAGGACGGACTGGACATCATGTTAGCTCTGCTTTCCTTCAAGGGGACTGTCACCCTCCTTCAAGGGACTTCACCAACAGAGACAGGCAAGCAAACAGGAGAGGGGGAAAGAAGGGGGAGAGTACCTTTGTTCTGTCCGACATGGCATCCGACGGCAGCCCGGGTGTAGTACTAGCTATGCTCATGGCCGGAGGACCCATGGCACCGACAGGCGTAGAAGGAGCCTGGGGATGATGATTCTGAGCCTGCTGCACCTGCTCCTGCTGGTGCTTCTGCAGCGGTCCCAGCAGTTGCGGTTGGAGGGGGACGTGGTCGGCAGGCGGGACGGGTTCCTGGTTACCCAGGAGCTTGTAGTGCAGGTTGACGAAGCGCTCGGCCGAGGTCGACTTGGCGGCCTCGGTGGTCTTGGTGCCCAGGTGAGCCTCGAGGAGGCCCAGGGCGGCGCACATGATGGAGTAGCCCCAGGGCTCGTTGTTGCCGCAGCGCAGGAGGCGGTCCTCCTTCATGGCGAGGCACTTCTCGATGAGCTTGACGGTGTGGGGGGAGTTGATCATGATCATGTTGGTGGATCCGCGGGGCTGGAGCATGGTGACGCTGCAGAGGTTGATGGCCGTCGTCAGGGCGTCCTCCCGCAGGAAGTTGAGGGCGCGGATCCCCTGCTCGTACAGCTTGTCGTGCAGGAGCACGATGTCGCGCGCCGCGTTGTAGTAGATGATCTCCGAGTACTGGTACTTGGAGTTCTGCTTGCGGAGCTTCAGGTACGGCTGGTGGAGCGGGATGATGTACTGCCGCAGCTGCACGTGGAGGAGCGTGTAGGCCGTCAGCGGGTTCTTCCTGCACCTCCACGACTTGGGGCTGCCGCTGCCGCAACCGTTGCCGTCCTGCCCGTCCTCGTCGCCGCCGTTGCCGGAGACGTTCATGTCCCACGAGGGCAGGGCGTCGATCTCCTGCGTCAGGTCGTTGGTGTACCGGATCACTTGATCGTAGTCGATCTCCGACGTTGGCCCCGTCAGCAGACGGCTGAGCTCGAGGCGCAGCGGCAGTGACTGCCGCGACAGGTGCTGGAACGACGAGAAGGTGTACTCGCTCGTGGGCTTGGACGGCGGCAGCACCGTCGTCGCGTCGTCAAAGTCCTCGTCGTCGAGGTTGCGCGGCGGATTCGTGTCGTAGTGCAGCTGGCTCAGCAGGGTGGGCAGCCCGTGGTCGAACGAGGCCTGCATGTCGAACTCCTGGACCGTCGCCCAGATGCGCCGTCTCATCTCCTGGTTGTACACGTCGATCTTGCCGCCCATGTGGCTGGGCTCACGGTGCAGGCCGACGGCGATGCCGTCCTGGATCAGCGCGCCCGATCCCGTCCAGAAGCGCTTCTTCTTGATCGTGTTGACGCGCTTGCTCAGGTAGAGCAGGCAGGCCACCTGGTAGTGGATGAGCCGGCGGTGCTTCATGCTCTGCCGCGACTGCCAGCTGTCGATGGCCCAGATCCACTTCTCGGCCCAGTATCGCGCGTTGGACATCATGCCGATGAAGCGCAGGGTCTCGTGCGTGCGCACGCAGCTGGCCACGGCCATCATGCCCATGACCAGGGCCGTGAAGGCAGCGTGCCTATGGCCGGACCCTGGCTCCCAGTACCGCGCGTACTCCTTGCGGAAGGTGGGGATGTGCACGATGCGGTGCACCTGCTCAAACTGGTTCAGGTACACCGACACGAGGGCGTCGACGTCCTCGCGGGGCGGGAGCAGGGCCTCGAGCTCCGGATCCGGCTGCTCGTACATCCTCTCGCGCTCCTCGCGGCGAAGGGTGCGGTCCTTGCGGTCGTGCACGATGACGGGCCGGAGCCACTCGTCGGCCGTCTCGCGCATGAAGGGGCACAGGCCGGTCAGCTCGACAAAGGCCATGCTGGCGTTGTGCGGACCAAAGTACCGCGTGCGGAAGCCCTTGCCGCGGAAGAATCGCAGCTCGCCATTCTCCCCGGACATCTGGTTGGTGGCCTCGATGCACTCCTGCACCTCGGGCCGGGGCAGACCGTCGGGCACGTGCCCGGCGGCGCCATCCTCCTTTTGCGTGCCGGGCGAGCTGCCCGTACCGGCGAGGGTGCTCCCGTCGAGCGACGAGGAGCCAGCGCCGCCGCGTTGTATGATATTCTTGAGCTGCGAGATCTCGTGTTCGAGCCGACGGATGCGGTCGTGGTCCTGACGGATGACGTCGGAATCCCGGGGCGACAGCGAGTCGCCGATGCCCAGACGACGGGCGTCGAGCTGTGCAAAGGGCGGGGGGATACCGGACGAGGCGTTGACGACCTCGCCGTTGCGCGACTCGTAGCTGCACCGGTCGGGGGTGCCACTCTTGATGCATCGCTCGCAGGGGAAGCCGCGGTCGCACGACAGCTTCCGGCGGCGGCACTCGAGGCAGCTGAGACGCACGCGCTGGCGCTTGCGAGCGGGCTGGTTGGGGTGGTCTTGGTCGTCGTCGTGATCGTGGTCGTTGTCCTGGTCGTGATCGCGCTGACGGCTATGCGAGCGACTTTCGTTGATGCTGCTGTGTGCGCCGCCGCCGCCGACCTCCGAGTCCGGAGTCTCGCCAGCAGTGCTGCTGCGGGACGTCATGGCTGTTGCCGGTCTTTCTCTCTTCAACATTTGTCGTTGCCGACCTTCGAGACGTAACCTCTAGAGTTGCGTCGATGAAGGATGCTGCCGTATGTCTCGGACAGCTTCATAGATGTAGACTGCTCTCTGCTGAGGGGTAGGTAGGGGCAGAGAGAGAATAGCTTTGCTTGGCCTTATTTTTTATTTTTTATTGCGTGATAAAAAAAATCTCTCCTCATCAGGAAAAGTACGTAGTATGGCGAGGGCAGAGGAAAACCCGCGTGGCGTGGACCCCACGGACCAGGGGATCTACTGGAGCGGAGCTTTTGAGGCGTAACGATTTTTTTTTTATCAATCTGATCAGATAACTCTGAACTTGGACCTGGAAACCATCTGTCCTGATGAGGATAAAAACCGAGCGGAGTTACGAGGTGGATTGGGAGTGAAGTCTACGAGTACAAAAGAGTACAAAGCAGGTCGTGAGTATCTGGGGGGAGGGGGGGGGGGTCTCCTGCTTACTCATCGTCCACGATGGGGGTAAGATGCCAACCTAGAGCGGGAGAAGGCAAGGCGATCGTCTCGGAACTCCGAAAGAGCAATAGCTCGTGTAGCTCCACGAACCATCTGATACCGCGGACCGGAGCTTAAATGTTTCATCTGCCATGCTCTGCCTCCGAAGACGGATGGATGCCCGCGATGACGGACGCCGGCTTCGATTGCCTCGTCTCTGTCCTCTTCCTATAACGGAGAGAGAGTGCGGAGAGACCCTTCTCAAGCGGAGAGGCACCTTGTCCGCGTGGCACAACATTTGAATATGACGCCACCTCTCTCTCTCTCTCTCTCTCTCTCTC